CTCAGGCTTGAGCCATGTCGGACACTCGTTCGTGACATGGCGGAAACATTTGACATATGTCGGCGATGTTCCCCATTCGGAGACTTGGATGGGGTTCGTGACGGGGCACCATTCCACACGTCGATTTCGATGCATCTGCATCCGTTCCGTAACACCTATAAGGCCTGTTAGACATTGTCGGTAGCGGCGAGGGGTTGTGCATACATACGGCTTTGTATGCCTCTGCAGAACTCTTGGACGATAGTTGGTTTCCTTCCAAGTAAGTGTTGTGACTGCTACTGATAAAATAATTGCTAATCGGATAGGTGAGGTCGATTTCGGTAGGATTCAGAGGTCGTACAGCATTCCACGCTGCCTTGTTGCTGCTCCAAGCCCAGAAGAAATCCTCGAAGGTATACACGTCCTTGACTGGAAGAGCCGTGGTTGTGACACCTTGGGTTATCTCGAAAAAGCGGAGGAGCTTTTCGTGCGTGAGTAGTTTGTCGCTTCCGCGAGCTTCTTTCCAAACCCTCACGGCGTGTTTCTTGAACGCATCGTGGATGTACATGGGTTTGTGAGTAGCGTTGAAGACTTGTGCTGACGATAGCAGAGAAGCCATGAACAAAGCGGAGGTCGGCTGACTGGGAGAAGCGATTTTCATGGTTGTCATCCTCCGCATAAACGACGGTTTCTCCTTCTTCTTCTTTGCCGTGCGACGAAACTATAGGCAGTTAGTCAATTGCTGATGTCACGGTGCCTGATCAACCAAGACTTACCGGTATGCACGACATTGTTGGAAACCCGCAGCTCTTCAGATTGTCCAATTGCTTTTTTGTCTTTCTCCTTCGTTCGCTTGATGCCTCTCCCTCGGCGATGGGAAAGCCTCAGGGGTCCCGCCCGGTTCGATGGGTTTGGGTCTGGGTCCTCTTTTGAGGATGCGGCTTGGCCGCCCGGCCCAGCGCCCTGGGTGGTTGGGGACTTTAGTGGACGCGCCGAAGATCTCCAGGCACCAGGATTAGGAGGTTCGCTATTGTTCAGGGTGCTGGGTCCACTACGGTTGATGCCGGTTGCGCACAGGGGGCGTGAAGCTATTTCGGGATGTCGTGCTGGTATCGATGGCTTGGTATGGGGAAAACGAAGGAGTAGAACTAAAGTCCAGAAAACAAGAGAAGGGAAGGGGAAATGGAGAGCAGATGTCAGCAGTTAAGATAGGGACAAAGGGATGCTCAGCTCACTGCGTAACAGAGCCTTGCCCCGCGCGCAACAATCGAGAGCCAATGGATTGATTTTCTGGCAGTGCCAGCGTCCTTGACGACCGTGGCTCTCGTCGGTTGGTGGCCCAGCTTGGTGGTTGATGGTTCGGCTCTAAGCCCAGGAACGTCCAGTCAGCTTCTGCAGAGGCTGCAATCGCCTGGGTGAGACAGGGAGGGAACCCTAGTCACACTGCCTGTGGTTCCCAAGCTAGGCAAGCTTCTCTCGGTGTTGACGCTAGGCCAGCTGGAAATGCAGGTCAGATAGGGTGTCATCCAAACCGGGGGTGGTGAGGCTGGAGTGCCGTTGCCGTTGACGTTGCTCGCTATGTTCGAGTCTTCTGTTTGTTTGGGCGGATTTAACATTCCATTCTTTCATTTGAACTTTCAGTTGAACTCGCCCAAGACAGCGCAGTGTTGGCTGATTCAATGGTTAGGCATCATGGTTTTCAGCTCGAAGCAGTGAGGAGGTGAAGATGGCGATGATGCCCAGGTTGAAAGTTTAGAGTTTAGTGCTCTTTCTGTTGGCTTCTGCTGGCAGTGCAGTGCTCGTCTGCAGTGAGTGGTGCCTGCTGCTCGTCGTCGACACTCGGGCAACCACGTTCTTTTTTTTTTTTTTGGCAGGATGAAGGCGCGATGCGCACAATCGCCAACCATTGCACAACTGCCACTTGAACTGCATCTCCCCCACAATCTGCCTCTGCCCCTTTCCCCCTGTCCACTACTCTCGACAAGCTCATTTAGCAATATTTTGGTTTTAATGGCAAGAGTAATGCCCAAATGCGTTACTTGATTATCTCATTGGTACTTGATCTCCTGATACAATGCAGTACACCGAGCTAAGCAAAATCAAAGCCAACTCAAAACACCATCCATCTCAAACTCCAGCACCAATCGACAACTCCCGTTTGATTCACTGGTCAAGAACCAATGCTGATGCAGAGAAGAATGATGCATCAAAGGCGGTCCCTGTCTGCCGCTCCGGCCGCTGTGGGGGAGTCTCGGGAGCCCGAGAGCACCGCCTCACAGTCATCACTCCCCTAAACCGTGGATCCACATACAACCTTGTGATCCCCACTGAGAACCCCAAACAAACCCCAATAAATCACCCCCAGAACCCTGACCAACCACGACCCTGATACCCCAAGAGGTTAAACTCGAAGGCCTTACAATAGAAACAGACCACTGTCAATGGTCAAAACCCGCTGAATGCTGGCGATCACTACCGTTACAGATTGGCGACAACAACACGAGCTGTGTGATCACCCTTCATCACAGGCTCAGGGATGGTGAGGCGCTACAGCGGCTCGCCAACTCCGAGTTGTGTGGACAAATATCCACATTCAACCCTTGGGATACAACTTGCGACAATATAAACACCATACACTATGCCGGATTGCTCACCTTGTGGTATCATTTGAAGATATTAATAAAGGTGTCGACGGATTTGGCCCGGAGGCCGTCCCCGGGACAGAGTGCAATGCTGACCCCAGCGTGCCCGGTGACATATTTCCCTTCTGGGTCCTTTCTCATTGTTCCAGACCGGTACTCTGTGGGAGTCGAGCCAAAACGGCATGGTCTCGATTTATTGATCAAAACATCTCATGTTTTTTCGCTTCAATGCTGCTTTTCCATTTGCTTGTCTCAAAATTCAATGGAGGTTGGGCGACGTGGGACAGTTGTTCGCTCCATGCAGACAGTTCGCTGCCGTCGTTCACAGGCTGCATTGCACAGCCTCCATGCGACCTTCGACATTGATGAGGCACAGCAACACCGGCTACATGATAAAGCGTTGGACTCAATCGAGTTCGACCATGGTTCTCGGTTTGAAGAACAACAGTTGAAGTTCAAGAGAATAAGGTGCGGGAGATATCACAACGTCATAGGTAACTTATCTGTCAGGCACAGCCCTCTTTATATGGGTGATGACGGCGGAACTCGGAAGATCCGTCCATGCTCCGCAGAAGTCGAGTGTTTCTTGTGGTTGGATCCATTGACCTGTCCTGCCAAACAAAACCTAAGAAAAGCCGTGACCGTGATAAAATCTGACTCGAGAGTTGAGGTGAAGTCCAAGTCCTACCTGTGTTAAGTCCTATGTTTGATCACTTTACCCAAATCCCATCCTCCTTTTCATCGAAGCTCAGCCACGGCAGGAAGGACCGCCCCTTAAATCTCAAAGCCTCTTGATATGTCACGCACGCTTTGTTCGACGTGTCAGTTATTCTGCAAGAATTCAAAAGCAGAGCGCAACCAGTATCAAGATGACGAGGCGATGCTGTGAAATCGAGGCTCCAAGGTTGGGAAATGGTTTCCCGTCGTCGTCGGTGCTCCTGCCTCGAAGCCCCATATTGCAGTGCCGGCCCGCATGGAACCGCAAGCATGGCCGGCAGCTGCCACAAGCACAGACCACAAAAACAGACGCCAATCATCTGGCTCCACACAGAATAACCGCGCCTTACATAATCCGCCGCAAAGATTTAACGACACACAAAACTTTTCCTGGCTCAAGATTTGGACTTGTCAATCTCTCTTCCAACCAGTCAGCCCAACAACGACGACAACGACAATGTGCGAGCAACACAACCTCCAATCCTAATCGAAAGTTCAGAATTGGGTGGCCAATGCTGCATCGCACGGAGCAAGCCTGCGCTGGCTTGCAATAGACTGCTCTGGGGAAGGGCCGCAATTGACGCTGACATGAAGTTACTTTATCTCTCGGTCGTCTTTTGGCTTCCTCTCTCGGAACAGTTCGCAGCAGCAACGGCAAGCTCAGTCGCTCGACAACGGGTATGCAATGATGGGGCAATGGGTGGTGATAGCTCATTTGCGCTTCATTGCATTGCTCCTTTGAACCATACATCACAAGGTACGTTTCTTACTCTGCTGTTCTCCCGCACATACATACATACACCCCATATATCCTGTGATGAGAGTAATTTGCGATTGATGCTGCTGTGGTGGGACCCTTTCGCCGGGTGTCCTATACCTGGTAGTAATTGATAGTACATTCTTACATATTCTGAGTTTATATCCCATAACACTGTCATGTTATCGAGAGCAGAAGTTGGTTATTCTGTCGCTAACTTTCCGAAAGTGTTCTAGATGTTACTGTTGTCTTGAAGCTTGTCGTGGATGGTGTGGGTGGTTGAGGTATCCGCTGGTCGGATATGGATTCTTAGGCTTGAAAATAAGATTATTTTGCAAATATTTATGGTTCCAATTCTGCGAAAATGTTGTGCTTGTGACTTTGACGCATGATTGAAAAGCTCTTTGAGTGCCAATGTCAATTGTCATGATCGCATGAACTCGTTCCGGTTTGGAAAGGACATGGAAATATCAGACCGATGTTAAGTCCAATGCAGGCACATTCACGAAAACTACAATCGTTATATCTTTCATGAAATGGCTGAACCTCGTTCGAAAATTATTTCCAAGGGTGCTGGGCATGTGGTCAACAATTCGGTCTTCTTTACATGCCCATTTTGGCGAGAATGTTGATGAGCGTCGAAGGTTATTTGGAGATGCCAAGCGACAGGTATTGGCAAGCTACCATTGTATGAATATAAGCCCATCCACAACGAACTCTCTCAACAACATCGGACCATATCAGTTCAATCGGGTATGGTGTAGCGGTAACATCGTTGACTCTCACTTCTCAGGAGTGACTGCTCTCTCAACAGCCCCGGGTTCGACTCCCGGTATCCGAGTCTCAATGTTTTTTGGCACATCTTTTCCCCCTTCATCTTCCATCATGCTCCTTCTTTTGCATCTCTCTCTTCTTTTTTTCTTTCCCTACTCGCACATCCAGTTTGTGTCTCTCTCTGCAATCCGGTATTCGTCGATACTTGAGTTGTTCAAACTCCAAATTCGGTCGGACTTCTTGGTGCCTTCCTCCCACCACGACTTACTTTGATTCCGGAGCATTGTAGTGAAAAGGATCAAGATTCATCACCTCAACCTTCTCGCGCATACGCTTCTCACCTTCCTCCTCTAGCGACACACAAATCCGTCCGAATAATCCACTTCTCGCCCGCCGTCACCTCCCTGCCCTCATGCAACATACAGTCGTTTCCATGCTTATGCAGCAACAGCATACCCGTCTCCGGAGCTACGGCAATCGCTTCCTTTGCCACCTGCCGGTCGTGAGGGTAAAAGACGGTCTCGCCGCCCGTGCACCCTTCGCTGGCGGAGGTGAGATAGAGCAGTAAGGTCCAGGTCGTTTTGGCGGGGACTTGTTGTCGGTTCGGGCTCGGAATATCGTCAGAGGGGGGGAGGGTGAGGGTGATTTTGTTTGAGTCGTCGTCTGCAGTGGGGGATCTTTAGTAGGGATGTGAAGAAGGGGGGAATAAACAATAGGGGAGTGTAATTGAGGGAAACGTACAATGCGCATCAAAAAATTGCCCCTTTGTGTATCGATATATCCTGACATTTGGGTTCAGGCCAATGACTTCACCACCCCTTATTCGTTTTTCCAGTCAGTCAGCCGGTAACTTTCCTCAAGCCGGGGATGGATAAACAAGAACCTACCATAAATGCTCCAACCCACCCCCCAAAACCGCCTCCTTCAACCCCGTCTCATACCACAACCTATCGGCAAACTTCTGATCGTCAATCTGGAACCGATCATTGACTCGCACCGCCATCCCCCGCTTGGGTTTCCCGGGCGTGGTGATCAGCGGGAGCGTGCTCAGGAAGGAGACGTAATCACGACATAGAGATTTGGGAAAGAAGTTCCGGAGGACGACGACTTTGTCGTCCACGAGTGTGTCAAAGGTGAGGTCGGTGATGGGGAGAGAGGGCTTGAAGGGGGGCCAGGAGGGCGAGGCGCTGCTGGCGGGTGGTGCTGTTGCTGATGCTGTAGAAGCTTGAGCTGATTTGCCGTTAGTTGCTGGGGCTTTCTTTGGTTTGGGCATTTTGACTATGGGGTTTGGTTTCGATGGAGCGTTCTCTGGGTGCGAGGGTTGAGCTGAGTTGTTGATGCGATCTGTTCTGTCGCTTTTCGGATGTGGGCTTTCGGGGATGGTGTCAGAATGTGAATTGCAGCTTTATACAGTCGGGTTATTTGCGATTTGGATGACAGATAGAAGCAGTTGAAGTTGAGTGAAAGCCTCTCAAGTGTCCACTCCTAATCAATTACCCTAAGCCCTGTAAGATGTCGTGGATACTTGGTGATGTTGAGAGTTGCTGATGAGTGAGAACTGAGACAGGCCCAGGCTTCCCCACATTTTGGTATTGCCTTTCAGGGTTCAGATGCCCCACGAAGCCTCACTGAGCGGGCGGGGCCGCGAGATCAGCCCAAGCTGAACCTTCACGAGCTGAACCTAGGATACGGATATGAACCTTGCTCACAATGGAAGCCATGAGTTCACAGCGCAGACTCTGAGAAGATAGTCCAAGCTTGGAGATTGTCTCCCCATCTCATGCCCGAAAACAGCATCCGAAATACTGCACGACAAAGGAAAAACACTCCGTAGGGTTAGGGTTTGTACCTCTCTTTGGCGGAGATAAACCACCACCTGGTCCAAGCGCCAGTGCATGCAAATCTGGGGCAGGCAGGCAGGCAGGCAGCGGAAACAACTTCCATCAAGAGGCATTGCAGACTGCAGGAACGACCGGGAACAGTGGACAGGCTTTTCGTGGTATCCCGTCCCGGCTCAGTCACTTGCACGCAATCACTTCATCAGCCATCATCCACCCTCAGTTCCACTTTCGCTCCCAGCAATATCAGTGTCAATCCGTCTTCGCTGCTTCCGTTCCAACTCGCTCAGTCTTCTTCCAAGTTCACCACCCCCCCAGAACTCTTTCTTGGTAGACACACTCATTTTCAAGATGCCGATTATCTCCAACCTCATCAGCAAACTGGTCTGGGCCGACGGTCAGCCTCCGCAATCCCCACAACAACAACAACAACAACAATCGACCCCCGCCGCACCGGTAGCAACAACAACAACATCAACAACACAAACGCCCGTTTCAGCTTCTACCAATGCCTCACCTTCATCCTCGTCAAACGCGGCACGCTACCCACCCGCACAGCAGTGGGAGGAACGTCCTTACCCGCCCATCTTCTCGGAGCGCTCCTTGAAGCAACTCGGCCTCTTCTTCGGCGGCGCCACCTTCTTCGCCCTCTCCGTCGCCGTCTCCCGGCGCGCCGTGGCCCGACATCTCAAGGCCTCCAAGATGGAAATCTTTGCGCCCAACATGATAGCTGGCATGGCGCGACCCGGCAACATCAACTCAAAGGCCCCCCGAGACCCCATGGTCGCGGTCGAGGCGCTCAACCTGGCCACGCTCAACGTCATCAGCTTCGCTACCATGGCCGCCGGCGGCACCTGCTGGGCGTTTGACCTGTTGTCGGTGGAGGACCTGAGAAGGAAGGCGCGCAGGACGCTGTATGGCGGCACCGAGGCGAACCTGGATGAGGAGGCGGAGAGGGAGGTCGCTGAATGGGTGGCCAAGACGTTGGGGATTGATTTGGAGAAGGCGGAGGAGGAGGCCAAGGGAAAGATGTTTGGCGAGGAGGCTGTCAAAAAGCCGTGAATTGGTGGTCTCTGCAGCAGGAACAGCGGAGAAAGTTAACACAACTCAATGATACCCGACTTATCTTTCTTTGTCCCCTCTCTTTTCTTCTTCTTCTCTATCTGCACAACGGGTTATTGAAAGACAGTTCACTACCTGCACTCGCTTGTTTGCCTATGAGTTTTCGGAGCTGTTCCCGCGGATGAGAAACATAGCCAATGGGACATTCCCGGCTTCTCTCCCTTTAAAATCCCTCCTCCCTGTCAACCTGTCTGTGTGTCTACCAATTCAAGAGTGTCAGGGAAGGTCAACAAGAACCAAGAACTACGAAGCCCTCTCTTTGGCCTTTTCAGGGCTTCGTACGCCAGAACTCCAAATCTCATGATATCGGCAAGACAAGGAAATAGAAAGTGGCGTGTAATTAGCCCTAACAGACACCCTGAGTGCTCATGCATGCATTCTCAATCAGGAAACGAAACAACTGCAACATGTTCGCCGCCTGGCCCAGTGCACCAAACTGTTGTTGAACGAACGAACGAACACAGCAAACGCAGGGAACGAACGATGAACTGGTGTTCTCGAACTCGTGTCTTACATTTTGCGGTGAGTGTGTTGGATAGCAATGGTCCCTTTCTCTGCCTCTCTCTCCCCGCCTTTTTTTTCTTTTTTTCTTTTTTTTTTTTTTCTAATTTTTTTTTTCCTTTTTCTTTTCTTTTTTTTCTTATTTCTAATTTCCACCTTTGGCCCCCTCCATCGGGTTTTCTGCCGCCTGCCACATGGCTCACATAGCTTCCCAGCTTCCCTTAGAAGACCGCCGTTTGTCTTGCGATACATACCCTTCCCATCTCGCCATCCCTTGTACATAAAACTTTCATCGATTGGGCTGCGAACGTGCAGCAAGGGGTCAACCGTTTGAGGTGGCTTTCTTTGGTGTCTGTTGGGAGTGTAACCGCGCTACCCGCCACTCGCGCCGCAACCGCGTATACAGAGTCTACACACACACACGCATAATCATGTTATGATATTGGACATAGATCCGGATATGGTATGGCATGTGCATGTACGTCCCGATCCAGACTTATTCCCGAACGTCTTCCAGATTCTTACCACAATTTGGAATAAACTGCTTGATAGCAATTCGTGATCACGGCTCACGGCAGAAAGCCAGATGCCTAGGGACGCCCTCCCGACGCAGCAACACAGCCAAGCACTGAGTTGGCTGTCTGTTCCCTGAATCACCAGATCGACAAACGGTGTGTGTGTGTGCGTGTGTGACGACGCTTTGACTGATGTTGCTCTGCTCTGGGCGTCGAGAGCCTCTCAAGTCCGATGGTCTTTGTCTGTTTATTTCTATATCACGTTGCTCGTTCCTTGAAGATGTTATTCCATAACTCTTCTTGATCTTTAAAGATCTCCTCGCCGTGTCCTTCCATTTTCTGATCGACTCTATCCATCTCGTTGATCATCACCATTTCCATCATCCAGCCTTAACTATTTCCAATATCCTCACCACTTCCATCATAATGTCGACAACAATCCCAACCTACCGCTACCAATACCGCCCTTCCTTCTCCCAACCCTCCGGCTTCGGCTTTAGTCTATCTCCCCCAAGAAACACTTTCCTCCCCCACCACCACCTCGAATCCCCCACCAACATCTTCCTCCCAACTTCCGATTCCTCAAAAGATAAGCTTATCATCCGGCAAGTGGGTGGACCGGGGGATAACCACGTCCAATGGGTATCCAGATCCGACATCATTCCTTATCCTGACTCAGCTAGTGACAAAGAGTTTCCCTCTTTTGCTACTGATTCGGGTGAAAGTCGAGTTCGAGCTGGTAATCAGAAAGTCAACAGTAGAGACAGCAATGTGGCCAATGACAATGAGAAATCCCGAACAAAGACATCAAAAAGCTACACCTCCCCAATCCACGGCATCGTGCACACAGCAAACTGGGCCAACGACGTAGGCGATCGACTCTGGTTGAGGAGCGATCAACCCATAATCGAGGGGAGGAGGAGTGTCCCGGTGGTGAATTTGGATAAGGGTGTTAGTGGGGAGATCTGGTACGTTCCCACCCCCCTTTTCTTTTTTTTCTTTTTTTTTTTTTACCTTTCTCCTCACACACACACATACACACGACCAAAACGGACTGACACAATCCTCAGTATATCCTCAGTAACCTGGCACCCCCAAAAACAAAAACGAGTTAAACTTTTCGGCATCAACGCACTGTCCTCCATCACTTTCATCGGGGCAGAGTATCGACAACGGCAACGACGTGGTGATGGTGAACCCTTTCGCATGTGTATAACACAGGGGCAGAACGAAGGGAACGAAGAAGAAGGCATCATCGAAATGATCTCTCTAAAAGAGCTGGACTCGACGTGCTGCTTTGAGGACGTCAAGTTCAAGTCCACCAAGTCACTTCTACCTGATCCTCAGCACATCAAACCAATTATACCAATAGGAGGGCAAAACGAAACACATGGTATCATCACATCAAGAAGTTCAACGAAAGGGCCTGTGGTTTTGGGGGAGGGTAACAGCAAAAGCAAAAGCATGGATGCTGCTGACGACGACGACGACGACGATAACCTCCGCCATGCCTCCTTCGCGAGCTCAACCAAGGGAAAAGTAGCTTTGGATCTGGTAGCGCGGAGTTTATCCATTTTCAACTTCAATGCTGCAATGTTGGACTTGGCTGCGCTGTCTAATCAGGGTATGGGTATGGATTGGTTCAATGGGAACACAGTAGATGAACCGCCGGAGGCGTCGGATGAGAGTGACGAGGAGGATGAGGACGAGGAAGAGGAGAAGGTGTGGAGTGACTGTGAGTCACAGTACTCTGGAAGAGAGTCGGTGATCGAAGATGAGGTTGGGGATCAGTATGAGAGGAGTCGAGTAAAAGACAGCGGAGGAGGTGGTGATGTATAAAGTCCAATCAAGTAACAGGTCAAATATCAGAGTTTTGAAGGCAAGCATAATCAGATTACATTACTACCAATCCTAAAGCACTGCTGAAAACCTAAACTAACTCAACGATTGGCCCTAAAATACTTCAAGTACGATTCAAAGGCTACCAATCAATAAGCACTACAAATGAATGTGGTACCAGTGGTCTCAACGCGCCTTAAAGCGCCGCCATCTGTGCAAAACGCACTGCAACTGGGTCCTCGTCAATCTCCAACTCGACCTCCTCAGCCTCCTCTTCGGTTTCCTCGCCATCTTCCTCTTTGACCCCTCCATCTAATCCCATGACGAGCTCCTTGTTGATGGGACCGCCACTACCAATATATCCACCACCACCACCACCACCACCGGTAGCAGGAGCGGCAACCGCAGGAGAAGGGGAAACAAACGGATCCTGAATAGCAGAAGCCACAACAGTCCCAGTGAGCGGACTCTCGAATTGCGGAACTCCAATCACATTCGGGATCGCAATCGAGTCAAGAGGAGGGGTTGGAATCCTGTGGCCCATCCTGATCACCTGCTCCATCCAAACGGGAGGAGGTCCGCCCTTGACAGGAACATCGCTTCCAACGGCCGAGGCCAATCCAGCACCACCCGCCCTAGGGGGAGACGCAGAATAGATATCTAGCAGGAGATCCTCGTTCTCCCCAGAAGTCTCCTCAATCAGAGGTTGAGGATCAAGTGACGAAGACGAAGCACTGAGGTGACTGGTGCGGTTGGAGTGTCCACGGCAGATTACTGTCTCCTCATCCGTAGGCGGAGGAGTATAGGTAGTGGCAACCGGACCAGCGAGACCGATGGCGAGCTCGGCCTTGGTGAGCGTAAGCGTCGGGCCTAGTAGATCAACTTGCGGAGACGCAGGAGTGACACCTGGACTAGCTGGAGGCGACTCAAAAGTAAGAAGGTCCTCCTCAGCAACCGGGCTAAGGTTGGAGCTGGATTTGGACGAATTAGAAACATGAGTCGAATCTTCGCTGGAGCCGTTTCTGTCCCGGGCGTCATTTCTCTCATCTCCATCCTCGTCGTCGTGACTGAAAAGGTTCAAGATCTGACCATAGTGAATGATCTTGCCATCGCTTGTGCGTGTATAAGAAAGGGGATCACCATGTTCATCCATAAAGTCACTGCTGCCACTTGCATTATGTCTGCCTCTGCGCCTCTGGAAAACGAGCGGGACGTCGCTCAGAAGGTCCATATCCTCACTTCCATCGTCAAGTCTCCTTTGCAATACGGCGCCTGCCCTGGCAAGCTCACCGAGCTTGTCCCAAAATAGCCAGGGAAAGCTAACAAGTGGCATGGTCTTTGGTGTAATTTTCCTAGTTCCAAGCCTGCCGTCAGGTCTAACGTGCGGTTGTTTGGCTTCGAAAAGGGCAATGCGAACTTCTTCGTACGTGACCCTGTACATGGCCGATACGAAGGAAAGGAGATCACCGCCAGCCTCATTTTTACACTGATCCTTGAAGTGTTGCTTGAGGACAGAAGACTCGCGACCGACGTTGTCTTGGAGTTTGTAGTCTGAGCCCACGCGGGGCTTGGACATGACAAAGGCGGTCCAAACTTCGAACTCGGTTGTGATTTCGAGCTGGCACATCACGCGGCGCATAGCGGTGTCGTACTGAGATTTGATGCGACGGGCTTTGGTCAGCGTCTCATCCCTAAGAGCGCGGCACTTTGTGTGCTTGAGGATGCGGTTATCAAAGGGCAGCTGGTAGTTCTCTTTCATGTCGAATGTTTCCCGTTTAACCATATCGTAGAGCTTTCCAAGTGCTGTTACGGAGTGGTAAGTGTGTCTGTTTTTCTCCATGAAATGAGGCCAGGTCTTGGGGTCAAGCCGTCTCGGAAACTCGGCGGCAACACCAGTCTTCACGTAGTCAACAGCCATGGAATGAAGTGAGGCGAGCTCAAGGCCTGTAAGATTGAACGGTCAATAGGTATTTCTTCTAAAAACATGATACAGTTCACTTACATTTCGGGCTCTTCACTCCTTCCACCTCCGCATCTGCTGTCGCCAGATGAGCATGAGCGATCAACGGCAGATTGTTGTACTTCATATACAACACAAAGAAGGTAATCAGGTTGTTGACGGTCGGTTCGGTTGCCAACTCCTTGCCCGCAATGGGCTCACTGGTCATTGGGGGATGGGAGCGTTCCTTCGGGATAAGCAAAGGGTCCCAAATAACAAAGAAGTCATCACCATCGAGGTCTCCACCAGAGCACATGCTGGGCACGTCTCTGTCCCCAGCCAAGGGGAACACCACCACGTCTCTTAGATGCCGCAAAGCAGGGACATCAACTGCCTCCACCACACGGATATCACCAGGATGGAGAGACGGGTTTCTGCCAACGACGCAGGTTCCAGTAATAACCCTGTACCCGCCATTGACATCATCGGGAATCTGTAAGAATATTTGTGGAAGCTTCTCACTGGGCACGTCTTTCCAGTCTTCGGTGACCTTCATATGCCCTTTCAGAGTGCCAGTCTCATCAACACAGCCGAGCACGAACGCACTCTTTTCGACATTGAGTCGCGCTTTCTCCTTCAACGTTTTGATAGACCATGATCGCCACAGCTGGAGTAGGGTGCGAACAAAAGGCTCCTGGGACTCCATGAAACCGTAAGCAAGCATCTCTGCAATGATGGGTGTCATATGGTTTTCATCAATGAACGTTTTCAGGATCGCCGTCGCCTTTTGTTTGTCCTCCATCGCCGCATTGAAGTCAGAAAGCTGCTGCTCCATCATGTCTACAAAGACTTGATCGGGAACACCAAGAGACGAGAGAACGGCAATAATCTGCCGGTTAAGGGTGGCGGTTGAGAACTGCGAGCATCTGACGACTTCAAGACCATTGAATTCGGCAACAAACTTTTCCTGTGACTTCCGAATATGAACCTCCATACCCTTCACATCAGGCCAAGTTACCAAGACTCCCTTGCAACCTCCCATGCGGAACTGGTAAGCTGACGGCGGCGGGTCAATGCTCCAGTCATGCGCTACGATCTTTGCAAGCAAAGGGGAAATCTTGCCTATTCCATCCGTGAAGCAAAATCCGTCCTTTTCGACATCAGGGATGGTGATGATCCTCGGTGCCGGGATGCCAGGCACCAAACGGGTAGTTGAGAAACACTGCCCAAGTCTAGCCGCATACTTGGCAATGACCTTGATATGACTGAAGCGGCCCATCCAGGCTCGCATCATGTCGCATGTCAAGTTGCTCTGTTCACAGAACATGAAGGCTCCGGCTTCTCGAATCTGAGAGTTGCCAAAGGCAAGGAACTTCCAATGCCACGGACCCATGGCAACCCCTTTCTCCAATACCCTGTACACACGCAAGAATAGGGGAAGTTCCGCTTCGCCGCTCTTGATACGTCCTTCAAGAACTTCATCGGTGAATTGAATGCGGATAAAGTAGTCTTGTGCATGTCTCCACTGGCGGATGACGCGGTTCGTGGGTTCGACGCAGGGGGTACTGAAGTAGATACGAGTAGGGGTGATCGTGACCCTACGAACCCAAGCGCAATGGTTGGGTATCATGAAACTAGTTGGGAAATAAGTTAAGGCTGCATTATCCTTGAAGAGTTCCATCGGGTCGAAAATACGCTTTCCAGCATACTCATCGGCAACGTATTCGAGGATGAGGCGAGCCCGATCTTTGCCGAAGCTGTTGTCATTATCACAAAATTCCATCAGCTTCTCAAGGAATGGCCGGTCAATGTTGTGCTCGTTGATGATTCCTTGCGATATGCAGACTTCAAGCTGATACCGAACATCAAACGGTAGAGAAATACGGGGCGGTGCGGCTAAAAGCGAAAAGTCGTTGCCCCAGGACCGTGAGGAGACTTGTTGAATCTCATGGCCGTATCTATCATCCAGAAAATCCCATACCTTTGGCTTTTGGTTGGGAAGCGGCTCGGGAAAGACAGTCAACTTAGTCCTGAGATTCCAATCGAGCAAATGTTGTTGAACTTGATCCCAGACTCTTGTTGATTGTCGATCCAGCTCAATCCAATAGGTAAGCCACCGTCCCAGTTCAATGTACTGGTGGTTCTCGGCGAGTGAAACTGGGTTTCTGCTGGCATCGAGTCCAGGGCTAATGTCGACCACTCTCTCCCAGAGGTCATTCTCGCTCCAAGTCAGCCGATCCTCGCCAAATGTCTTTGAGACATCCTTCTTCCTGTACGCAACCGGCGGATCCCGGAGAGTCATGACCAAAGCTTGACGATGCTCCTCGCCGACCATGGTTCTGCATAACTCCTTGATGACTCCAAACTTGATATGGAGCTTGTAATGCTCATTCTGTCTGCGAAAACCACTAGATTCGCGTTGGTAGTGGAGGGAGAATTTAATCACCAGTCGCATGCGCTTGAAATCGAACTCGAGTCTCAGTAAAGAGTCGGACGAGAGGGTTTGAACGGATTGTTTCTTCATGAATACTGCAGGCTGGACTAATAGACCGAAAGACAGTGTGGAGGGAAAGACGTATAGAGTTTGCGGGCAAGTGTTGCCGAGCTGAGTCTTGATGGTGCGTTCTTTGCGATCCTCGCGCTTTGGGTCCACTGTCTCGAGAGGCAGCCAGTGGTCGACAAGTCCAATCCTGAGTCTGCAGATGCCTCGACAGAGAAAGTCGGTAGATAGCGGAGGTGGCTCAAAGCGAATCAGAGCTCTCCGGCCACGATCAGAAACATCTTGACGGTCCTCATCAAGTTCAAGGTAACTGATGTGACCATACTCAGAGAAGAGATCGTGAAGGTCCTGGAGTTTAGCTCCAGGCGGCACATCCTTGACGCGAATGGCAGCGGTCCTGGCGCACTTCCACTCCCTGGAAATGAAGACTGGTTGTGTGAGAGAGGGGAGAGATGCGAATGAGGCTGGTTTGCCCCGTGAGAACTGCCGAACAGCGCGAGGGCGAGGCTGGGGAGAGTTGGAGGAGGGTCGCGAGAGGGGTCGTGAGGATGGTCGCGAGGGTGGTCGAGGTGTTGGTGCGTTCTCTCGATGTCGCTGCTGGCTGGATCTGCGGCGGCTAGGATGCCTCGGACGAGCGTCCTGATCTCTGGGGCTTCTGTCCGGCGAGACAAGAATGGCATGCTGCGCCTGCTCTACCCAGTTGGGTATTCCGGACATGGTTGATATCTGTCTTGGCCACAGTCAGCCTTCAGGTGTTCCTTGAAATAGACTCAGATGTATCGGTTTGTGGGGTAATGGGGAAGAAACCCACGAGATAAGTGCCTGATAACGTGCAGGTGGTAGTTGAGGGGTTGTGCAAGTAGTTACTGACCACACCTCTTCTGTTATTCCTTGGTTGAGTTTGATGTTGCTTGGTCTTTTAGATGGCGAGGAAGGCGGCGAGTGTGGATGGGGAAAGAATCCATGCTCATGGACGAGAAAAGCACTCGTTAAATACCTCTACCGTAGGGTAAGGCATATGCGCCTCTCTAGACTTTGCGGGAGAGCACAATGGTGGGGTGGTTACCAAGTAACGGATGACGGGCGAAGTATTGGGACGAAAGACGGGATTTGGCAAAGCCCTGTTGGCCTCGGAGTCTCGAACGCCGCCGAACGGAGAAAACTATCAGATGACAATTCCGTCGCAGAGACAACTGAGCTGCTCAGCTTCCGTTACAAGGTGTCTTATGTGTACTGGGACGAAAGAACATTGAAAAGGCAGTCTTGAGACAGAGGTGAGGTAGAGAAGGCCGTGAGCTGGGATTGAGCAAGGAGAATGTTGTCAACTTACAGCTGAAGCTAACTGAGCTGTTTTCCAACTGCCCTTCAAATATGTAAAAGTAAAACAAATCCGAGACTGAGGCGTGATATTTGCTATTCGGGGAAATAGATGATTGACAAATGCTCCGTGGAGATGATGAATCCGGGGAATACCAGAGGTACCTAGGTAGACAATCAATTTGTCAACTCCAAGCTCTTGTCCATGTTGAGGAAAGAGCCCCAATGTTCCTACTTCTAGGCACCCACCCATGGACGGGGCGGTTCAAGCAGTTGCAAAACTTTGCTTCGTGCCTTCTCCCTGCCGTCGTTCCTTCCTCCAATCTGAAATATGTGAGAAGAGAGGGCCTCGTCACTGCTGCCCGCTTATCATCCGAACCCGCTGTACTCGCGGTTTCGTCGCAACCTCCTCGTCTGGAGCATGAAAGGAAACTGTCTTTCCAATCACGACGCCGGACATCAGATCAATTGATAAATGTAAACAAACCACCTCTCCTCTCTACGGAGTCTCAACCAAACCGAGAAATATATACGCGTGCCGCTTTTCTTGATATCCTGTGCCTCAGTCATTGATGTAGTCATTGCCCTACGGCCTCTGAAACCAAACCCTGCGTTGAAATCAATGTCGAAATGCCACAGCATCCAGTCCAGACAGTGGTTTTGATTCTTAGTAGATGCACTCACTTCCGTGATCCCTTTAGCCATGAACATCGCGTCTCCTGGTCGTGCTCCTTTAATGGCCACTCCATCGTCTAGACACTAGCGCGTACCTCCTCGCCCTCCCGGTCACGATCGACGATCGAAGATCTTACCCGGGTTCATAATCCACTTGGGATCCAATGCCAGCTTAATCGACTTCTGTACACTTAGTTAGCACGCAGTCCAACCCCTTGCCCAACTCTCCCGGAGTTCAAAGACTTACCATGACACCAAGTGTATCTGGCCCGACCTCCCACAATAGTGACTCCTTCTTACCCCAGCCAATTGAGTGCTCACCCGTACATGTCCCCTCCATCTCCAGCGCCCTCTTGACCATGTTCTTCACGCACACTTCCACTTTGTCCCTTTCTTCCTTCTTCTGCCGGTTGTAAATAATGCTCTCATGGAAGTTTCCGTCACCAATATGACCAAGGATGCTAGCGAACAATCCTAGATCGTCCATCTCCTTCTTGCTAACTTCGATGATGTCGGCTAGCCGGCTGAAAGGGACTGCAACGTCGGTGCTCCCTAGGAAAACCAGTAATGTTAGTATTGCTGTCTTTGTGTGAACAAACGCTCGGTGGTGTTTGTTCCTCTCATTGTCAGGATTTCATCGAACAAGCAAAAGAGAAGAAAAAGAAAACTTACAAACTTCCTCTCCCTCCTTCCTCAAAGCAAGCATGCTCCACAGACTCTCCTTCCTCGCAGACCACAACAACTTCTGCTCTCTCGCATCCTTGGCAAATTCAAAGTTGCTCCCTTTATTTGTCTTGGTGATTCTCTGCACCAAATCAATGTTCTCCTGTACGCCTGCTTTCGTCCCCGCAAACTTGAAGAAGAGCGTCGGCATCTCCTTCCACACCCGCGGCGCGGTGGCTCCGCCTAGGTTGACTACCTTCATCTGCACCTCGTCCATGATCTCCATGGCGGCGACAGGAATACCCCGTTGCATGACTTCCGCGGCTGCTGCCGCTGCGTCGCGGATCGTGGGGAAGGTGACGACTGCGACGGAGAGCTCCTCGGGGACGACGGCTAGCTTGAGAGTCGCTTCTGTTACGAGACCAAGAGTTCCCTCCGAGCCCACAAAAAGACTGTTGAGATTGTAGCCGGCTGAGGACTTGCGTGGACGCCGGCGGGTCTTGATGACGGAGCCGTCGGCGAGGACCACAGTCAGGTTGATGACCCAGTCTTTCATGGTGCCATACTTGACGGCATTCGTACCGGAGCAGTTGGTGCCAATCATACCACCAATTTTGGCACTCGGGCCTGTGATATTGGTTAGTGTCTTGAGTACTCGCCAGTCTTCGTGCTTTTGCGGGCACAATACATACCTGGATCAATGGGAAAGAAGAGGCCACTCGCCATCTTAGCCAGCTGCTCATTCAGATCCTGCCAACCAATGCTCGGCTGCACGACAATGTCCATATCGTCCTTGTTGAACTGCACGATCTTGTCCATAAAGGCAAAATCGACACTGATTCCCCCGTAAGGCGCAGAAAAGTTTCCTTCCAGACTGGACCCTCCAGAGTACGGAATGATAGGTACGCGGTACTTGTGACATATCCGTGCGATTGTTGACACATGCTCTGTTGATCGGGGGTAGGCTACCGCAACTGGTAGTCCCTCTGGGTTGGATGATGACCACTCCGAATATCCATGAGCGTGGAGGTCATCCGGGTCAGTTGAAATGATGTCCTCGCCCTCAATCTCTCTTCTGATCTCAGCAATAGCCTGGTATTATCAACTTTCGCGTTAGTCCAAGCTTAACCCCCGTGACTTGTGAGTGGGGTGGGAAGGCAGTTACTTGATTATAATCAGGTCTGGAAAATGATCACACCAACGTACCTGCTCCATCTCGTGTAGACTTGCATAGTCTAGCGCAGGGTAGATACTATCCATCAACATAGTTCCGGGAAACCCGTTATGCCGAAATTCTGACAGGCTCCAGCCAAGGAGACCGGCGGTAGTGGCGATGACAATGGCTCCTGATACAGGAGGCCACGTCGAAGCCCATCGTGTCTGGCGTGCTTTACCATTGCTACTACCACCGCTCTCTCCAGAGATGTTGCTTCGGACGGCCGAAGTGGTGAATCGCTGGCGGAAGGCAATGCTACAAGTACTCCCACTGACACCGGGGCCAGCAACAGCCCGGCGAATGGGCCTCGCCGCTTTCATGAGGTAGGTTGTCGACATGCCGGTCAGCGTTGAAGACTGGATCAGACACGATGGTTGAGTGGAGGGTTACAGTGCACCGTTATTGCCGAGTCTGATGTGTGAACCAAGCCTGCAACTTCACAGTTGATGACCGATAATATATGTTCTGAATATTCTCGTCTTCTCGGGAGGGACGAAGTAGCCAACGCCGGTTTGCCCGATGGGTTCGTCTTGTGATGTTTTGTGAGCTTGATGACCGAATACAACACAAACAACTTTGCTTTCTCGATGGGCATGAAATTTCGCTTACCTCATGTAAAGTTAGGTAGGAAGAGGGACGGCTTACCTACGCCGTACTTATCAACTCGTGGCTTGGCTCTCACGCACACCTGCACCCGAGGAGAGTACCCACTCCGAAGACTAGGCCCGGATTGATCCAGCCTTTGGAAAAGCGTATCCGAAGTCACACACTCAGCTCTCCAAGCCACGCACCGTGCCTTTGTTGTAACAAGCAAACGACGATCAGTCCCTCTGTGGTAAGGTTAGGTGTCTTAGTCTTTTGAGGGTTCAAATCAGCTCTAATGAAACCTACACCTAGAGAATTGAAGTGGGCTATGACGAGGTTGCGTGTGGATGACCTGATGACCAAATCGTGATGAATTTATATCGAATGATTAAACTTTAAGAAAACAGTATGCATAAAGGGCATACTCGAAGGGTGCTTGTGAAATTTCAAGAGTGAGCAAGAGCCGCTTCCATATGTGGGATGGATGCAGTAAAGAGATGTCGGGACGGAGTAGCTGACAGGTCCAATAAAAGAACAATGTCGGGTTAGCTAGTCAAGCATGATGAACTGCCATCCGCACTACAGAAAGGACCCTAATGTAAGCCAGGTCTGTCCGGATTCTCCAAGGCCTGGGAGAAGGAGCAATAGGGATAGCACCCGTCGTCACCGGGTGGATCTGACGATTTGCAAAACAGGGGCCGCACAACAGGACATGAACGGTGGGGGAACCAGGCAGGACAGAGAGCTTCCTGAGTGGGTATAGGAGTACTTGTTGTTTTCGTGACCAGCTCGGTTTGGAGGAATCAAGGGTATTGAGGGGGTTGTGTGATGTAGTGCATCGTGGAACTGGCGCCGAGGACAAGGAAAAGGGCGGCCGTAAACGAACAGGGAAAAAAGCATAAAAACTGTCTGATAACTTTAACACTATGAGTATCTGGAAGGGGTTTAGCCAAAGAGATGAGCCTTTGTATTTGTAATCGGCCACAGAGTTGTCGTCTTACGAAAGCCGAGAGGATCTTGGGAGAGGAGTGAAAAGGCAGACAGGTCATCCTTGACCCCATAAAAAATCGAGGATCTAGATCTTGGGTACCTCTACTATGCAGTAGACATGCCCGGTACAAATCTCATCCGGATGGTATAGGGCAGCATCGGGTTAGCTCATCGCTTGGCACTTGCGCAAAGCGTCCTGTTGTAGGAGGAGACTGGGCAAACTGGGTATCAAAAGATGGGGTATTCGTGGGGAAAGGGAAGAAAGACAAATGAGAGAAACAAAGAAGACTTAAGTCCCACATCCTCCCACGCGTAGCTCACATGGCATTGGCGGGGGTAGAGACCGGAGGTCGGCACTGCAGTAGCGTCTGGTAGTGTGCTCGGGCTATATATTTGGCGAGGTAGAGGTCACGCCGCGCTCCAGGTACCTGAATTGGTGTCATCAAGTGGAAACTAAAGATGGACTTGGCTCAGGGTGGTGGGGGAGAAGAAGAATGACATCTTGCGGGCCGAGTTGCTCGGTAGCATCTCTGGAACCCCCAAAAGCGTCGCTTGTCGTCGGCTACCTTTTTCCCTCTGTGCAAGCGGTGCTATTTCGCTCTTTTGCAGTGACGTGCCAGCCATTGAAGTGGAGATTCCTTGACACTTCTTCTTCTGTCAAAGTTGGGATTAGATTGCAACCCAAGGCCAGCGAAATAGGTAGGTATAAGCCATGATTACCGTTACATGCATCGCAATTCCTGAGATGGGAATCTCATTTGGAGATTGGCCATTTCTGAGTCAAGGGGACTACCCGTTAGGTCTTCGTAATCGACCGTCTGACTAGCGGTTGGAAGACGTGACGACTATGGAGGTTATCGTCAATTTGTCCCAATGCTGTCGATCGGGCCACTGTCAGCAGCTCGCTCTCAGGTACCGGCTTTGTGGTGTTCCGGACAAGGGAGGGCAAGCCACACACCTATGCAGAACGAGTTTGGCGTTCGTTTTCGAATCGTGAGGAATAACAAAGCTGATAATCTACAGCGTTATGAAATTGGAGGCGCTGTTATGGGCGCATTCCTGCTGCCCTTCAAGCCTTTGGCTGCCTGACTACTGTTTTAAAGCTTGGCAAATCCGGGATATCTCGCCCGCCAGGGCAAAGCCTTTGCAACTTGTGCAACCCTCGAGGTCGAGTTGCCGTGCGTAGGTCGCATCTGTTACTGATCACTTGCTTTTGTCTGACGCATCAGCTCTTCGCCCACCTGGTCGGGCCGCAATCACCAACGGAAAATGCGGTGAAGAGTGTGCAATGTGCGATAATCCCGTCACTTGAGGGAACCAAGTTTGAAGTTGTCCATAGCGTGTATCTGTATTAAAGCTCGGGAAAGTTTAATCTGGCAGACGTATAGATGGCAGTGGTGTGTTCATTACCGGGTTATTGGAACCGCCGGGGCCGTATTCGGTTATTTCGGTGAAAGAATGCCGCTCCTTGCCACTTCAAGGGAGTCAAGAAGTCAGCCAGCTCTCCACGGCCTCATCACCTTCTGAAGTGCTTTTGGTACTGTCAGTTTGTGAAACTCTGTACCATGACGGACACTCACCATACGATGAATATCATCCCTGACCCTCTTTCGCACTATATGTTTTGATGGGAGGAATCCCCCCACCCCATCATAATGCTTGTCCAGCAACTTCAGCGCAGAAGCGTGGTAGAAAAAGCAGTAGTAAGCACGGAAATTGGATTTGACTGCCGAGGTCATGAGGACAAAAGACAAGTGATATAGTTGGCAGTAAGTTGCGGGAGCAAACAACCTGGAAAGATGAGTGGCAGAAGTGGAGTGAGGTCAGACTTGCTAGAGTCATCCATTTCCTCAGACGGGACCACAAGAGCGAGGCGACGGCGACAGACTCCTCAAGACTGATAATTAAGTGCGGGGAAAGAAACGACCGGGAGCCTTTTGGCACTTCGTTTACTACTTCGGTTGAGATGCCGCGGTGCAACTTTTCACACGCCCCGTGGAATTGCCATCAATTCCTGTCCGCCAATCCGGCCAAGTTCGGGATGCTCGCCGAGTCGTGTTGTGTTGCGTGAAAGATATTCTCGCTTCTCAACGCAGTCACGATCGGTCAGCTGGAGGACTCACCGAACCTCGTTGAGAGAAACATGGATGGAATGCGGTGAAACCTGTCGAAGAGGCTGGTAAAGTAGCAGGATAGCAAGAGCAGTGATTGACCGGATGGTTGCCTTTGTTTTGGACTGAAGTGCGGTGCTTTTGGTGATAGACAATACAATGTTGGAAGGCGCAGCTCAGATGCGTAAAGTTTGAAAATGTGAGCGGAAGGAACCCATGTGGAACCTGGCGGACCCCCGCCTACCTAAGCTCCTGCCGCTACAATCTAGGTACAGTAGCCCCTCCTTGCCCGCGATTGCCCTACGGAGATGCCAAGCCGGTACAACTGCCCCACATTGAAGCACCTGGCTTCACGGCGGGGAGCGGGCGGTCCCACCTCCAGAAGCCCACAACAGCTCCACGGACACTCACTGCACAACACGCGGAGATCGAATCACGACGACGACGGCGACAACGACCCTTACTCTAACCTTCTTTCCACTTCAAACTCTGAACAACACTCCGCTTTGGCTCAAGACTGCCTGTGAGCATCCTCGCTCCTTCTTGCCAAATCTGCCCTTCCATCTCTTACCCCTCCATCTTCGGCAGTGGGGGGGAAGAGCTTTGCAGAGTCAGACTTGTTGCCGCACTCCCACATCATCACTGCAGTCAACATCATTTCAATCGTCAAGTGGAATAGTACCTATGGATCCGACTGACCGCTTTCAAGAGGTACAAATCGCTGAGCCTCAGACTGCAAATTCACCACCAACCAGCTTCCAACATTCATTGTCTCTGAGACAAAGCGTGTGAGTCCTGTCCATCTGGCACAAGTGTCGCCATTCTGCCTGCGTCCCAGAAGAGCAGATTTACCGTCATGGGGTTACACGGTCCCACCACCAGACCAACGACATTACAGAATCTTACTTAGTCTCCCTACCTCGGAATTCCTGCCTCGTCTTCTTTCAGCTTACGTTGTTCATGCGCTCCTGTGGGAATGGCTTCCATTTCTTACCTTGCAGACCGCTTTCTTAGAACCAAGGAATCTGACCAAGTCGTTGAAATCCTCCTCGTTCTTCTTTTCGATTTCTTTGGGCCTCTTGATACCTATCAAGTTGAGCCATCAATGATACACCAACTTCTACCCACACCCTCAGCAATCGCAATTGCCCGTCGTCACACCTACCGCATCACATCTCCAAGTACAGTGCCCACTCCTTCGGCTGACGTGCCATACACTCCATATATCGAGCAAGGAAAGCAAACTTCCAAGCCCAAACATTTTTGTCAATTTTTGATCGTCTCGTTTCTTCGGAGATGCCAAGGCATAAAGCGTCCGGGTTGTCATTACAGACGACATCGGCGAGAGCCTAAGCGAGACGCCACCTCCAAATTCTTGGAGCAGAAAAAGCAACATGTCTTACGCAGAGTTGACAGGTCGGCAGGGTCAGACAGCCGCCCGCTTGCCCACTCATCGAGAGAGATGGCACGGCAGGCAGAAAGCTCGACGCCGACTCGGGTTCCAGAACTCTCTCAGAAACCAGAAGCCCAGCAGCCGCCGTTAGGGCGGGAGCCAACGATCAAGTGTGGCGAGTAGCAATGGCAACTTCAAGACCTCTGATCGGCCTTCGTCACTACGGTAGTGTATGTATGGTGTGCATCCTCACAGCACCCCTTGTGTCTGAGTACTTTATTGACTGGACTGCATTACCCAATCTCCATCCTTCTGGTAGCATCCAAGACAAATCCCTGACCAGCTGGATATCGCCGACTTAGCCAGTATTATTAAACTTCACAACCGAAGCCGCATTCGTCACGCAGGAAGCTACTGTACGCCTCAATCAAGATGCTTCGGACCGTGCCCTTGGCCCAAGCGTACGATTTTGTACATCTAGCGCTTCATACAAGAAGGTGCGGCAGAGCTTGTTATGGTTAGGAAACCAATGAAGATCATGGATGAACTAGTGCCCATCAATTGTGACCCTTTCCCTTTTCTACACCTCAGCCGAGATTGGTTTTGACGGTGTGACAAACATCACATAGAATCGAGACCACTGCGCTCGCTTGCTTATCTCATGTACGATGATCAGCATCCGGACATCGCTGGGAAGTAGTGTAGTTCAGTTGACAACTCAAATTTTGTCAAGACAGTACCTACCACTCATCCCTTCCAGAAGAACGGGTGACTGATGGATGAACGTGACGAGAAAAGCCTTCCGCACCCTTCAAGCATTTACCCGCACGTCAGCTGATGGTCACGAGACTGGGCAGAAGGGCCAGATGAGACGTCAGTTGAATAGCTAACATTCAGCTTCGAGGGTACCAACCAGCCACGGCAAACCAGTTTAGTTCGCCTTCGCATAAGGTGAGTGATTACTTTGTATCGACATTGACATCAACGCTAAAACACAAACATACGAGCAAACAGAAACATCGCTTCATATTCAATCCTGTGAATGTTCAAGAAAGGTCCCAGCTAGCCAACACCTACGAAATATGCTGACACCCACCAATAGTATGAATTCACCCTTTTACCCCGGGCTCTTACCTCTTCTCACCACGGGTCCTTCCCCATTTCTCATTTCTTTTCTCATAAATTGTCGTGAACCATGAGGCAAGCCTTGGGATGTTGTGCTCACGAGGATATGAGTGGTACCGGCCATTCTATCTCATACTACATAGTCTTACCATTACTCGATATGTACTACCTGCACTTGAATCAAGGGTCCGTATATGCCTCAGCCTCACTTACTTCGACACCAACGGCCTTTGCCGTGCCTGGCTTGGCTTGGTGACCATGTGGCTCCGGGGGCTTGGTCGTCCCTGCTCTGTTCTTAGAGTTAAGACAGGAGAACTCTGGGATGAATTGTTGCCGTGAATAATAAAGGTGGCAAGTATGTGCCGAGTGACACAGAAAAAAGCTTACTTATCTTCAGAGTACTGCTGAGCATAACCCAAGGCGACGCAATCAGATGAAGGCAATCACAACTCATCGGTGAATGAGCATCCGCTCACCGTACGGAACTGTAGGCAAATTTCAGTTTGTAATTCCTAGCCACTCGCGGTTCTGGGATTACACAGTTGGAAAAAGGACAGCGGCTTATGTTGAGGACCCAAAAGGCTTCGATACTCGCACTTGGCAAGTCGTCACATAATGGAAAAGGACGCGGGCAAAGAAACTAGACGTTGAAAAGCCACTTTCATGGGAAAGGAGGGAATAAGAAACGGCAAAACACAGTGAGCATGGCGACAAGAGCTTTGACTAGCTCAAATGGTCATGATACGGAGCAAATTCGAACAAGGGCTGAGTCTTATAAGGCGGTTCTTCCTCCGGCTTCTCAACTACACCACATATCGAGCCAGTCGCCGACACAATTTTGCGAATAGTGTACAGTCACTCGGAAGAACGAAGACTAAAGCGCCGTCATTCACGAAGCAACAATGAAATAAGACATCAAGCCTTCGGCCTATCCGAGTGGTTTGGTAAATCAGACTGCGCAGTTAAGTGACTCCCTGGGAGCTAGCTTTAAGTCACTATAACAGCTTACAGTGGTGTGGGTCACCTACGCCTAGTCGATGCAGGTGGATAAAAGTGTGATCTGCTGTAGCATCTTTCTTAATGATGGATGTGTCTTGGAAGTCGATGACCTGGATACTGCCATCAAAAGGGGGTAGAGAGGTGGAAGCGCTGAAGGATATTCTCATCCATATGGCACCAACGTCCAGCCCAACCCACTCAAAACTTCACCCGTAGGGATAGAAATGATGCCAAGGCCGAAATAGAAAGCCTCCCGAATCCTTTTCCCAATCCCTTCATCCTCTTCTTCCTTGTATCTTCTCATATCAAGCCTAACAAAGTCACCATTTCTACTCCGTCAAGCCCCGACTTGGGGTCTGCTGCCTTTCCGCCCCGTCAAGCCGTCGAAAAAAACAGACAACACCATGATTCGCTTAGACCAAGACACCCGTCACCCGAGCCCTGATAATTGCCCGCTATTGTCTTCGGAACCAAGAGGGGAGCGAGGGAAGTCTGTACAGAGATCCAGTAATTTGTCTGCTCTCGTAAACGCCCCATCTACTTATCCCATGTCCATCCGAGAACCAATACTTCACTACTCCATCACCACTGAGCAACCCTATACCATCACATCGCATCCAACATACCATCGTATCTCATCACACCCGACTCCTTCCAGCCGGAAGGACTAGTTCCGCCAGTAAGTCCAACAACAGCGCGGTAACCGCGTTTTGCGTCCTTACCATCCTCCCCTTTCCCAGTCACTCGCATACCTACCCAGGTATCCTGCGAATCTGCCTCCCTTGGCTTTTGAGTCTCAACCCCAAGCCAGCAGTCTACCACCAAGCAGTCGAGTACTGTATATGCTCAGCTCGGCTTAGCCTAGCCCTGCCGAGCTTGCTTCCTTCCTGACTTATTTGGATGCCCGACTTGACGCTTCCGGCGCCACCATCACAGAAAGTACCCACCAGTGAGCGCCCTCCTCCCGGCTCCTCAGCTCGCCTACTGGCAGAGGGGCAACTTCGCATTCCTCTGGCCGCTCGCCACATGCAGCTACCGTCGTCCCCGGAACCATTCATTTCCCACCTTCTCTCCCCTGTCCACAGTCGTTGCCAACACTTATAGCGCTTCCAGCACTTCCAGCGCCTCCAACGATTGTCACTGCCACCACTTACATATTCAACGCATGTAACGCCTTCCACATCGGTACTCTAGGTTGACAACGTTGATGTTTCTGTGTGGTCGAGCTTAAGTCAAGAGAGGAAAGTATCTGGGTACTTGGCCTACCTCTATATAGAAGTAGGGATCAATGTTTCACATAATTCACACACAGCTGAGATCTCCAGCCGGGGGGGGAAACGGCTGTTTTTGTCGCATTTGTACCTACCTTACCTTACTAGAGACATTTATCTCGAAAATGGAGATACAATTTGTTTGATGACCGAAAGTTAAGGGGAGAGAAGGGGTTCCTGATTGGCCTTTCAGGAGTGAGTGAGTGAACTCAAGATGGCTAGGTATTCCTAGTAAAAGTCAAAACAGTTGCTATGACAAATATGTGTGTGTGAGAGAGAGAGAGAGAGAGAGAGAGAGAGAGAGAGAGAGAGAGATAGATCCTAGCAACAAAGACAAAACTTTTCTATTCTTTTCTAGTCTGTTCTAGACTTGGGGCCTACCTAGGCTAGCTTGGAAGAGAGTGTGCAGTGGTTGAATGGCTTAAAAGTGTATAAGGAAAAGAGCGGGAAAGTGACAGGGCTGTTTAGATACTGACTGGTGCCTCGATACAGATGCAGAGCCAAGTCGAGTGGCAAACGAAGACGAAAATGCGGAAGTGATCACATATGATCTTGGAATGGGTTGCGAGTCTGTCGTTGTTGCCGGGCATCGTGGAAGAAGAAGACCGTATCAGGTGCTAATGGTCAGCACGTATGTTGTGACATGTTATGGATGGATCATGTGCTGCGTCAAGTCAAACCTTTAGAATCCTAATCTAGAAGATGATGATGCTGATGGGTAAGGGCGGGACGAACATAGAGTAACGCGGCGGGTGCCTTGGGGGAATGGTCGAATTGACCGAGTGGTCCAGAGGTGAGTGATCGGAGGTTGTTGGTTGTTGTGTCGTCACGGCATGAGGCCATCTTGGGCATGGTTGGTACACACATTTGTTGCGTGATGAATTAAACCCCAGCTAGAACTCTCGGATAGTGTAATGTCGTCAGACGTCGAGATATCGCGAATGGGTAGAGTAGGTAAGCACATCACATTCACGAAGGCGAGAAAAATGGGATCCGACAAAGTTTGAATAAGGCGTAGGGCCAGAGGGCCGGTTGTTGTGATCCAGTATCAGGGAGCCATGTTTAGGCATCCAGCTAAAACTAGAAATACCTAGGTACGGAGCTAAGGGTCGTCGCTCTTACGCGACGGGTATCTTGAATTTCACATTCCCCTATGAACTCCATCCCAGCATGCATTTTTTCAGTGAACGTTAGGTATCAACAAGCCAAAGCCCCCGTTATGCCCGAAATCCTTAGTCATGAAGCACCAGAAAACACACTTGCACACATTTAGTGGGCAAGAGCGTTGGCGCGGCGGCGGTCACGCTCCTCAGCGATGGAGAGCTTGACACCCTTGCCCTTGGGAAGGGAGATCCAGGGCTTCTCGGAGCCGATAACGAAAACGTTGGACTCGCGGGTAGCGAAGGTGTTGTCAAGAGCATCCTTGACGTGGATGATGTTGAAACCACCATCGTGACGCTCACGGTGGGTGATGACACCAACACGACCCATGTTACGACCGCCGGTAACCATGGCGATGGCACCAGTGTCGAACTTGACAAAGTCCTCGATCTTGCCAGTCTCAAGGTTGATCTTGACAGTGTCGTTGACCTTGATCAAGGGGTCGGGGTAGCGGATGCTGTTTATCACGCACAAGAGGTTAGTCAACCGTGGGAGGGGAAAGTTTGGACATACCAGCCGTTTAGATCTCGCTTGTAGTTGTGTGATCGCAGAGGATGAGTTCCCCCATTCCACTTTCCCGCAAAGGTGTCGCGTAGGACGGACATGTGGGGGGAGTGGAAGGGTGAACTTCCACGCGTATCTACCAAAGCTTGGTCCAACGGCTGATAGATGTGGGCAGAACTTACGTTCTGGCATCATGCGTAACCAAGAATGGGATACCGCCCTTGCCAAGCTGGACGCGCTTGACCTTGCCGAGCTTGTACTTGGCCTCCTCATCCTGGATGCGGTGGACGGTGAAACGGCCCTTGGTGTCGTAGATGAGACGGAAGTTCTCGCCAGTCTTCTCGATGGTGATGACGTCCATGAAGCCGGCGGGGTAGGTGATGTCGGTGCGGACCTTGCCATCGACCTTGATGAGGCGCTGCATCATGATGGCCTTGGTCTCACGATAGTTGAGCGCATACTTGAGGCGGTTGCGCACGAAGACGATGAGGGGCATGCACTCGCGGAGCTTGTGAGGACCAGCGGAAGGGCGAGGAGCATAGACACCCGACAGCTTGTCGAGAAGCCAGTGCGAGGGGGCGCTAAGGCGCTTCTGGTGCTTCTTCCTGCAGTAGGGAGTCGGAGTCAGTCATTGCCGTCGCTGGAAGGCTTAGTTTTTGCGACATCTCCACGCGATCTTTTGGTGTCGCAGCGTTTGGCGCCCAATTTCGAGGACGTGACCGAACTCGAGACTGGTCATCCAAATGCTGCGTCGCCGGAAAGCATCGTCGAATCAAGAATCGTCGTCAACGATCCGTATGGATGGTGGTGTACTTACGGTCCTCTGCCCATTTTGACGGTTGGCTAATGGATTTGCTGGTCGAGAAAATCAGGAGGGAAAGTTCGTCGAAGAGGCCGGCCAGGTAAATATGAAAAGTGTTTTGTGCCTCGAAAACCCTAGCGTCCTGTGGGTGGGCGGTGACAGCCGGCAATTGCACTTGGCGCTTGGCAGTTTCGTGAGTTCTTGGTCTGTGCTCCACATCCTGTTTTGCGCCCCACTGCGACGCCTCACTTCCTGTGGAGTAGTCACCAGCTGAGGGTAGGCTGCGTTCGGGGTTAGGGTTGGCCACGTTGATCGCCCATCTGTCTTCCCGGCTGTGAGGTGTTCTCCCTGAAATGTCATCACCAGATCCTCACCAGCGGTGGCCTGACATCATATCATCAACAAACAAACAAACGCTCTCACCAGGCTCGTGTTTGATACGCTGACTCGAAAAGAAACCCAATGTCAACCACTCTTGTTGAAGTCAATCGAACTCATATTTGCTTTGCTCGTATACTTTAAGTACTAGGCATCCTACTGCGAAGTAGTTTGCGTGAATTGACCGTCACTGATGTTTCCTATCTCTTCTGGTTGTATCTCTCGTCATCTCGTCTTCCTCCCATTGTTGACGGTTGCTCCTGCCTCGATTCTGACTGTGGATCGATCCCGGCCCCAACCAAGAAGATGCTCTCCATGAATATGTGTGACGCACTCCTCCCAAAGTTGTCTGTCCTTCTTCAAAGACAAATGCGTGCCCCCAAGTTCCTGATCCCAATCTTTTGTCAGCCCCTTGACTGACGCCGCCCGATGTGTATAAACGCAAAAGAAATAAAAAAGGTGTTTCGCGAAGCCTGCCTTGATGACCGGTGACGCCCTGTATCTAGAAACCCATATACGCTGATAACATAGCAAAAAAAAAAAACAAATGAAAGTTTGTCAAGTTCAAACAATGCGCCGGCCGTTTACCGTGCGATAATTCCCGTGTGTTAGAGACGACAAAAGATCTCTCGCGCTGGCGGCAAGAAATTGCAATGTTGTAGCAAGCTCTCTGCATGCCTACCTGTTACCTCGCGCTTCAGAGAGCCCTCCGATGGGCGGATCCGCCCGATAAACCATCCTGACCTCCTGAAATAACTGGCGCTCCTCCCCCCATACCTCCCTGTCCATATCTCAGGCGCTCCGAGGCTGAGGAAGGATCTTGGGCATCGTTTAGCAGGAGTCGGGATATATCCATGTCGGGAGGTCCTCCGAAATATGACGACGACAGAGGACCGTCGGGCAAGTCAGCAAAGACAGAAGCCAGACCGGGTAGCGTCTCTGTCGGTTCGCATGTCGTATTCGGGAGCCACTTTGGCAACTCCTCCCTCGAGCTCTGTCGCGATACTTGCGATTCTATCGATCGTGCTATGGTCGGCTCGAGAGTTTTGGATATCGTAGGGTGAATGGAAGGCTCCAGCAGACTGATGCTGGATGTAGACGCCTCCGCACTCCCGCGCGCTTGATGGTCCTTATCCCGGGGATTGGTCTTCTCAATGCTTGCGTAAATTTGCGGATACTTGTTGCGAACCCGGTCGCGCAAATCCGTGGGTTGGCGGCTCTGAAGATGATACTCTGGATCGCGTTGGATCTTGGTCCAAGCCGGCCCGTGTTTCTTGAGCCCCGCCAGAATTTCCTTGTCGTCCAAGTCCGTAAATGGACGCCGCTCACGACGGTGCGACTTTTTGAATGGACCCCTAATTCCCAGTTCGACAAGATCTTCCATCTTCTTCCGGTGTGCCCGACTCTTTCTCTGCTTTGCAGGGGCCGAGTCGGAGTCACCCCTATCCTTATCACTCGGTCCAGCCTCTGGGTTGCTCAAGAGAGCGTCCAGCGACAAGCCATTCTTGTGCCTGCTGCTCATGTGCGTACTTGGTTCGCCTGACGTAGACTTGTCGGCCGCAGGGCTTCTCTTGCCTGAACCCCCACGAAGCTCCTCGGGACAGCAGGTCCGAAACCGATCCTTGAGGTCACCGGCAGTCCGGTCGTTGAACTTGTAGTCGGGATCCTCCAGAATGGTCGTCCATTTTCCAACACCATGCCGACTGACACCCAGTAAGAGATTGTTGGTTTCCTCATCGGACCACTTTCTCCGTGGTTTCGCCGCCCTCCGTTTCGCCTTGGCTCCGCCACTGGTCTTGTCTCCGTCTGTTGGGGGTGGGGATGTAATGGACCACTCGGCGGGTGGAGTTGTGGTTGCCGAGGCAGGGACATGGGTCGGAGGACTGAGATCATGCATGTAGCCGCTTATCCTCGGTGGCTCATGGTCGACAACGCCGGAGAGTATTGGAGGAAACCTGCTGGCGTTGGGGTTGGGTGGCGGTTCGTGAAGGCCGTTAAGGATGGGTGGGACCGTGACTACTTGTTGAAGAACCACCTCTTGGGTGGATTTCTGCTTCTTGAGAGGCTGAGGCAGCTGGACATAATCGTCTTTGGCAGCGAGAGCCCGCTGTCGCTTCTTGTTGTAGGCATCCTGAAGAGCATCGGGGTGGTCGCCTGCAGGTCTGCGCAGAGAGAGGGGCGTGCTGCTTGTCTCTGGGGAGTTTGATGAAAGCAGCAATTGGAGTGAATGACTCGAAGGAGGGTGGCGAGCGGCAGAATCGCTTGCGAACAGGTCTATCCTGGGCGTCTGCTTGGTCATAGACTCGTTACTGAGCGTGTGAATCGGTGGCAGAGTCGGCAGTTGCTTGTCGGTTCTCTGCTGCTGCTGCTGCTGTTGTTGTTGTTGTGGTTGTTGTCCAGCATCGCGGGGCAGGGTAGGTAAATAGAGCGAGTTGCTGTTCACGGGGGCCGTTATAGGACCGAGCTGTATAGGTGAAGGGCTATCGGCTTGCTGGGTGTTAAGTACGGTTGAGAGGTGCATAAGCCGTGGCTCGATGGTAGCCATCGTGGAGGAAGGGTTGCCTCGAGGAAGCCGGCATTGGGCAGTCGGCGAGGCGGGGCCCGGAGGCGTTGAGGGCGACAGCGTGTATGAATGCGTAGGAAAATCTAGTGTTAAGTTGTCTGCGGGAGATTGGATTGTTGCAACGGGATCGCGAATGTGGTAAGTGTGATATGTGGTGACGATGACGGAGTAGGGGAGGGATGACAACTTTTTTTTTTTTTTTTTTCCCCCAGAGTCTGATAAACACAAGATGCCTGGTATTTGAAAGAGAGATCTATTAAAGAAGAAAGGCGAGGCGTAGAACGAACAAAGCCCACGAGACAGACCAGCGTAGGAAACCGAGACTGAGACACCAGTTGTTTACCCTCGTGACAAGGAAAGTAGGCGGAGAGGAAAGAGGAGGCAATGAACGGGAATGGGGAGGAAAAAAAAAGGAAGTTGGAATTAAGGACGATTCTCGGACGAGGTCCCAGGATGTGAGAGGTCTCGGCTTTCGTTGACTTGCCCACTGTACACTGGAGGTACCTTGCGGCCCACCACTTCCGCGGCCCTTCAGCGTGCCCCCATTGGGTCCCAAGCTAGGTACACTAGGTCGTTCGATAACTGCGGTTGTACTTGCCCTGGGCTGGGACCTGATGGGGAGGTGAGGTGACCCGCAGCACTGCATGCGGGTGCGTTAGGACCACCGTAGTGGGAATCGATGGGCCAGAGAATCGATACGTAGGTAAGTAGTGTAGTACATCTAGATCTTGACAACGCCTCGTCTAGGTAGGTGGTAGCTTGGCACGAGCATCAAATATCTCTCGAGTACTATGTAGTGTACTATTACATTACATTCTGATGGAAAACGTCCAGACGGCATCCTTGTTGAATCCAACGTGTTGGTCAGCTGTCATGGCCAGCCTGGGTTCAGCCAAGGTACCCGGTCCCATCGAGTTTATTTCCGGCAACAAGGGAAGCTGGATAAGGTATAGTTGAGTTGACTAGACGTTGACCAGAGGAGCGGTACCTGACTCGTGTTGTTCATCCAACTGCTGGAGAACATTGTGGATGAGCAACAAGTGAAGTGACATCAAAAGTCCAAAAAGTCCCCGAAGGAACTGCTCCTGATATCGGTCCTCCAGAAAACAGCGATAGTCTTGCAGATTGTAGACCCGTTCCATCTGATGGGTGGGGTTAGCTTACACATTGTTGCTCAGGGCAGTGGACACTAGGGTCCGGGTCCCGTCCTTCATCCTCTTTCTCCCCCTTCCCTCGCTTCCCTAGTGTGTTGATCTTTGCTTCACCCGGGTCCTTCTCCCCGGCCAAGCTCGCCAGGCACAATTGTACATACTATTATGTATTATCCAGCATCAACCAGTCCGCATTAGTCATCACCAAGGGATCATGTAGTTATCACAAAGCTTTTTTTTTTTTTTTTTTTTTTTTTTTTTTTTTTTTTTTTTTTTTTTTTTTTTTCCACTCTGACTGCAAAGTACCTCACATGGCTGTTGTGTGCTGTAGTGTAGTGTAGTGTAGTGTAGTGTAGTGTAGTGTAGTGTACACTACTCCTCTTTCACTTGGCACCATCACATTTCCACTTTTAGCTGGGATCGTCCAACACAAAGACTCGTCTTTTTTTTTTCTCATCATCGAGACTTTTTTCGCCTCCTCCAGCTCCGGTCTACGGAATGCACCCAAGGTTTCAAGGGTCAGTGAGACCCCGAATTTGACAGATCTAGCTCATAGACGGACAGAAAGTGGGATGGAGGAGGAGGGGTGAGTCGGGGAGACAGAAAAAGCGAGAGAGACAAAGAAAAAATAAAAATAAAAACCGAAAAACAGTTCCATTTCGAAAATGGAAGCTTCCATCTCTGTCTGCTATTCATCATGTTTCATTCCGCAATTGCAAGTCGACCCATTTCAAGTCCGCCGCCACATTGGGCGTCTCAGTCGCTCTGATTGTTAATAATGAACGACAGCAGAGAAAAAGCGAAGAAAAAAAAATGATGCAGCCTCGGCTATCGAATGAGAACGAGCTAGTGCCAATGCCACCTAACTTTGATTGGGGAGGCAATTGAAGACATTTACGGCACTTCCCTCTGTCAAACCCGCTGGCCACTCACATGGCCGACGCGGTTACCCACCCGGCCTCTTGGGATGGCCTCCTCCATTTTGTTGCTGCTGCCCACACCACCACCCTTTACGGGGTTCGGAAAGATGGGGGGGGGGGGAGGGCATGCCCCTGGGGCGGAGGAGACGCCGTCAGGGGAGTCGTGTGCACTGAATGGTTCGGAGGGAAAGGGCAGCACAAAGCCGCTATTATTTTCACTAGGCAACGGTTACACGGCTGCGACGACACCACCATCGCAGCTTTCAAAGTCTTCAGCAACAGCGAGATACACCCGACAGCGGGCACACCTTTCTTGCTCTCCCCGGCATTGGCATGTTGACATGTCATCTGCTGAGAACTCTTCGGGAGATCTAACCCTCTTCTGGGTCTCTCATCCGGGCTGCCTTATACATAGTATGTCTCTGGTGATGACGGGCCTGGATCACTGAGGAACCACCAAGACCACCCTCGCACGCCAGAGGGCCGGTGGACGGAAGCTGAGTGGCGAAGCAGGCGTCTGGGCTGTCTTTCCCTGCCCTGTCCAGACCATCTGCCCTCCAGAACTACACTACACTACCATACATACTGCGGTAAACCCGACCCTCAGGTTTGACGCCCACCAAAAGCCGCCAACCGCGGAGGTGCTACACTACACTAGTGTAGAGGTTCCTACTATCTAGACTATGTTCTAGATGTACACGCACGAGACACCAATGCCATCCATGCCTCCGCGGAATAACCTTTTTTATCTGCCAGATCCGCGCTTATTAGCTCCATGATCAACCGAAGCTGCTTCCGGATGGCGAAACCACTGCAGCAAACCACGATATGTCCATCTACGCACGCGAGGGAGCCTCATTCCATCTCCTTGACTGGCCGCCTCCGTCTCCAACGACTTACCTTACCTTCGCCTCCATACCAGCTCACTACACAGTAGTGTACACAATTCCAAACAGATGTGGGTGGAGATGATGGCACACGAGTTCATTCCGCGATCTTTGTGCGATCCATCAAGCGCTCCATCATCACCGCCGTTGACGCTTGTTGCAGTTGCCTATGTGATCCGTTACGGAAGGTAGGTAGCTCATGGTCGCCCCGCGTGAGCCCCGACCGCCCACATCCACACTTCCATACTAGCAGTGCGCAATAGACATCATCGAGCCTACCCTGCTTCGTGTCGTTTCACAGCAGCAAGCCTGGGTAAAAGAGAGAGGAAAAAAGGCCCTCGCGCCCTTGGAAGCTGCCCGCCCTATCCGCTGTCAAAAGTGAGACTGAAGCAAACTCATGCAAAATGCGACAACCTCCTCGGGGACCGATGGCAACTTTACAGACTGACAACCTTTCGAGCTGAGAAGCCCGGTGGTCACCGCTTCCATCTCCGGCCCGTACCGAGTGGAGATGTACACTACATAGTATGACCGAGGGGAATCTCTTATCGTGAGCAGGTCTTTGTCATGGAAGCTTATTGGGTCTAGGGTCTCGGCCCAGCCGCCGACTCCTGATGGATCCTGAGGCTCGTGTGCCGAAATGGTGTCAATGCTTTCAATAAGAGATGGATTTGACTCGAAGGGAGATCCCGGGACCCGAATCGACCCTGTCGTCCTGATAGTTAGGACCATTTCTTCCGCTGTGCCGTGGCAAGAACAACCACCTACGTCAATACCAAGAGGTGTCCGTTACCGCTTCGAGACTTGTCCAATATCCACCTGATCGTTCAGGGTCTCAACATCAAGACATTCACTCGCAGAAGGATCACGTTCAGGCGTCCAGACGCACACACGCATGGCCTACACTCAAGCCCACATGTATGATACGAGTGTGTGCAGACAATGAAAGTTCCAACGGCCTACAACATCGTGGTTGGGTAGCCAGAACGCATCGAGTTCAATATCACAGTTACACAGAGTTGGTTGGCATACTTGGGCCCCCTTCTATGTCACAAAGAGCCCGAGGTGCATTCATGCCCTGCTAGCCACAGACGTCCTTTCGAGAAGATGCCGGTGGTCCGATGAAAAGTCTGCCAAAACTTACTTTCACTGTATGTTAATTGGTTTGCCCAAGCCATTTACCTAACCCTGCTTCGCTTGCCTATATCGGAGAACTTTTCACTAACTCCTTTCTAGCCTCCCCCGCTGCACGACGAAGAAGACGTGTTTGTACATGCCTCCTGGAGTGAGTTGGCATCCGACCAGTGCTGGCGTTAGTGGGGATGCTACCATCATCAAAGCACGTTTTTGACCTGACCGTTACCTAGCTAGCACGCCTGGTGGATGCCCAGCCAAGCACAGATGAGAGCCGAGGATCCTCCAGTTCATCGCCATGCCCGATCCCCAGACCATTGACTGCACAAACGTCATTTGGCATTGGCCTCTGGGTGCCCATACGTGGTGTGAATCGCATCACCTCGACACGTTTTTACTGTTACACTGTCATTGAGCATCTAATCATCCATCAGCTACAAAATGGACGGTGAGGTCATCTATTTCCAGGATCCCTGTGTGAAAAACACCATTCGGTGCCGAAACAAACTATCATCGTTAGTTCCACTACACTACTACATTGGCCAGCATGAAAAGCCGTGTTTCACCCGTACCGCCGGGCTGTCCCCGTTCGGTCACATACCCAACCACTGATCGTCCACGGGGTCTTGTCGGGTAGGTGTACCGGCAAGTGTCGTGTATCGGCACGCAAGATCCGGGCCCGGTAATTGAAGAGCGTGAAAGCATGAAAAGGGGAAGTCAACCCCGGGTAAACTGATGTGCAGGATGCGCAGAGTCTTCTTCTTGCTCTCCACCACAATACTAGTAACGTAACAGTGCTGCGATGGTGAAGTCCTTCATCGTCACAAGTGTACAGGGCAAAAAAACAAGCAATGAGTTTCACTCGGCAGTCGGAAGGGACTTGTTGCAAGACATCTTATCAACCCTTCTAGAAGCTTTCCTTTCTTTTGCCTACTTTGTCTACGCAATCTCCGTCATCACACGTGCTTTATCTTTTTCATTCAGCTACCAATGTACAACACATATGCTACACCACTATCGCTCCCTTGACACATCGAGCTCGGTCTCTCCTTCAAATCACGCCCCTTCCTAGCATCTTCCCGGACTGATTGACGTGACTTTCTTCTCTCCAACCGAACCCATAGAAGGGGATGAAGGGAAGGAGAGGTGGGAATACTTCCAGACCGTTACATATACAAGAACTCACGAGGGAAAGAGAGACATACATTCATTTCATACCTCACGTTGGCTTTCTATTTACGTTGTAGACTTGAGTCTGGCCGTATACCAAAAACCGTCTAGGTCCGGCTCGGTACCTATAGGTCTATATCACATTATCCCCAACTAGGTTTGCTTTCGTTCCAGTCGTTCGTAAAGTCTTAACTTGCATATCCCACAATCGCTTGGCAAAATCCCCAATCCCCATGTCGGGTAACTCTGATCGTCGGATACACAAACCGCATCCGAACGAACGCATCCCTTTCATTTCCAATCCGCGGTCGCAATGTGTCCCGCCAGACCGGATCGGATCGAAAACCCCAAGTTCATTCGGGTCCAGTGCAGTGCAGCGTCAATCAGAGAGACCTACGTGCATCTACCTTCAACTCCCGCGAAGAAGGATGGTACCTACGAGTAGGTAGCTGGCCCTATGGGCGTCAACGTGGCTGGAATCTGGGCGTTGATAGACTCGGGCCTTTGACCCGAATTTAGATACAGCCGGTATGTAACTGTCTCATTATGTCGTAGCTAGAATCAAGCACGTGACGAACGATTATGTACTCGAATAGGAACAGCCTAGTAAAAGGCAGCTCAGGCAGAGCCGACTGGAACGCTTCTCTTTCTTTCTTTTTTTCGGTACATGCCATTCCCACGGAGCTGGGAAGTTCGGAGCTGAAACCGCAAAAGCATGAGAACACCATGGTTCGATTATAAACGCCATGGAGCGCCACATTTGCTTATTTTTTTTTTCTTCTCTTTATCACCACGCATTACCACTACATACGCGCTTCCATACTACTACGCTGCAGTTGACAGACACATGGCCCGTTTGGGGACTCAGACATTGATTGAGTCAAGTCAAGTAGGGAAATGGGCAAAGTGTTAGTGGCCGAGTTCAGCCCTTCTCACATCCATATTTCCTCCTACAGGGCTTGCAAGTCCCGAAACAGACTTTTTCTTCCAGTAGTTCTATATAGGGCCGAAAAAAGCAAGCCGAAGTGATGTGATGTCCGCAAGCCAGTCGGAGCACTTGTAGGTAGAGGACTTTATGGGCAAGCCTTATCCGATCCGCCGCCGCCATCAGCTTCATATGTGCCACACAACACACCTGCGACGCCTTCAGCAATAGGTATCGTGCCATGTGGATGTCATGGTCACGCCATGCCATGTTTATGCCACGCTTTTTCCATGCGTTCGTTCTAGGTAGATGTTTGAGATATTCTTGCCTTTTCTTTTAGTGAGACATGCATACATGCCACGAGTCCAAGCACATACACATCCAGCTCTAGGTAGGTACCTAACATTACCCGATCAGGTCGGGATCCATAACCGGACCAACCTATCTCATCATGGCTAGGTAAATTGGAAGATAGACCCGAAAACTCGGGCCTGAGAAGCTGGGGTGAAACTTGGAAAAAAGGAATGAGAAAGGGATGGATGGTGAAGGTGAGTAATGAATTATCAAAGCAGCTAAACAGAACTTGCATGTCAATACCTAGTTTCTTGTCAGTTTTCGTGAGGGCAGTTCAATTTGATATGTCAAGTTTCCACTAGAGACATCCGATGTCTTCCCTTCGTACCTTGAGCAATCATGTCATATCACATCACATCGTGTTGAATGAGTGCATTGATTGACGTTCATGATCGATCGATCAAGGCAAGGCCGTGGCAAGCCGAGTGGGAGGGAGCACAGCAGGTGTGTGGGTGGGTGAGGTGTGAGGTGTGAGGTGTGAGTGGAAACTTCCTTCCGGAAGCATATGGGGGGAAGTAGTCGTGGGAAGTCAGTAAACAAACAACCTAGAGATTATCAGTAAGTCCAGAAACGTGAATGATGATGGTTTTCCTGCGTGTTGCAGGGCGATCGGAGAAGACGATGTAGGACTGAACCATATACGTAACTGCAGCATTTAATGCTAACGAGACGGGACATGGTCACGATTTGATTAGGCGAAGACTCGCTATAACATTACATTTACTGAAGCTGGACTGATATATCGTGAAGTAGGTAAAGGTACCTAGGTAGAAATATCGGCATAACTGCCCTGACATTGAACTACAGTGCACTGGACTGTACTGATCAAAGAAAATGAAGAGAATCTACCGGGCCTGAGGCTTATTCCCTTATGTGTTTTTTGGGAGTTACGCTTTCGTCGAGTTCATTTCGTCGGACAGTATAACCTGTGATGTCAACATAGGTACGTAACCAACTGGCGATGATGATGCTGATAAACAATCTCTTCCACAAAGGTACCATTCTCCCAATCCCAACCTAGTACCAAGGCAGAATACACACCTATCTACCTATCTACCTAGGTACCTACCTGCCAACCTACCGACATAGGCAAACTAATCAACCCAGAGAAAGACACTCATAAGCAAGCAACCATCAAACTACTAATCGGGCATTGACCAAACTTCCCTAACCCACTGCAACTACCTCTACCTACCTAAGTAGGTAACCACCACCCATCCAGAGTACGTACCTCTACCTTAAATGAGATAAACCCACGTGCATGCTTCCCGGTATCAATGAGCGAGAAGAACATGGCACACCACAGCACAGCACAGGACGGCACGGCATCCCAGCATTACGTAGTGGTTCTCGTTCGAGCCAAGCCGGGAGGGTCTGTATAGTCAGCAACTTCCTAGATCGAGATCTGTGCATTGGACCCCAACTCGTACGATGCGGCTGTTTGGTTTGCCTGATACCTAGGCCTACCTAGGTCTGGTAGAGATAGGTAGGTAGGTAAGTAGATCGATGAGGTTGATACCTTACCTTAGCTGGTTGGTAGGTAGTTACCTAGGTGTAGGTGAGATGCCTTGCTCGTGGATAGAACAGACTGTGTATACAATTAATCATCTCTTCTAGATCTTTACCTAGGTAATATTTTGTTTCGTTGAATCCCTCCGAATCAATTTACGAGGATATGGACACTGGGAAATATAACTTTGGTGTTTTTTTCACTGTGTTACTTTATCAAAGGGAGATGATAATAACAAGGGGAGATAATAAAAGGTCAATCGGTAACTGATGTTCTCTCTCTTGACCATTATCGACACATTCATCATGTCCGAGAAAGGCTTACGTTGGCAAGAGGCGAAAAATCCCCTACTCATCATTTCTTACTCATCTGCTTTATATATACAAAGAAAACACAAAAAGAAGCGAAGTCTTACTCTAGGAAACAAGTGACGCTAGAAAAATATAGATAAGCCAGATCAAAATATCTGATATGCTCGCTCGCTTTGCGTTGTTGTTATTTCTCCCGTCCATACTTCTAGGATGGATTGAATGCATGCAGAATGGTATAGTAAACCGCCAGACATGAATATGGACACATGGAGAAGAATGAGAAAGAGATGCAAGATGGATGGGTGGGTAACAGGTACGATGCAAGTACATTATGTAAGGTAAAAAACACTTTCTAATATGTCCGGGGGAAAAAAAGCTTGCTAATCATGCATATCCAAAAAAAGTTTCTTCTTCTTCTTCTTGCTCTTCAGCTTCTTCATCCATGTACACCCATCCATCCCTTTCACTTGTTTCATCCTCCATTCAAAATTCTTCCCACATGCATATCACAAAAAAAAAATTTACAAAGCAAGAACCAAAGCAGCCATCAAAGCAGGGACACCCATCGCAACAACGTTGCGTCCGGCGCCAGCAGTGACAGGAACCTCCGAGGGCTCAGAGCCGGTCGCAGGCTCGGTCTGAGCAGGCGGCGCAGGCATGCTGTAGGTGGAGGGAGCGCTAGAGGGAGCAACCGAGACGCCGGTGCCAGTGGGGACAGCGCCGCTGGGGACAACAGGAGCGTTGACGGCGGAGGGAACGGCAGGGGCACCACCGGCGGGCACAGCCGCGGACTCGGCAGGGACACCAGCACCAGGGGCACCGGGAGCACCGGGGGCGGAAGCGGCGGGCTTGGCGACGGTGATGGTGGTGAATGGCATGGAGGAGACGGAGACGATGGAGCTGGTGGCGACCTTGTTAACACCAGCGCCGGGGGCACCGTTGGAGGGGGCGGCAGGGACATCAGCACCACCGGAGGGAACGGCGGGGGCGGAGACGGCGGGAACACCAGCACCACCGGAGGGAACAGCGGGGGCGGAGACGGCGGGAACACCAGCAACACCGGAGGGAACAACGGGGGCGGAGACGGCGGGAACACCAGCACCACCGGTGGGAACAACGGGGGCGGAGACGGCGGGAACACCAGCACCACCGGTGGGAACAGCGGGAGCGGAGACGGCAGGGACATCAGCAACACCGGAGGGAACAACGGGGGCGGAGACAGCAGGGACACCCGCACCACCGGTGGGAACAGCGGAGACAGCAGGGACACTAGCAGCACCGGTGGGAACAGCGGCGGGAGCGGCGGGGACTGAGGTGGCAGGAGGGAAGGCCTCGGTGATAGGGCAGACGGTGACGCCGACGGGAACGATGATGGTGGTGACCTGGCCAATCTTGCCGGCGCAGTCGGTCATCTCAGGAGCGCAGCTAGCGATGGTGGAGGTGGCAGTGCTGTAGACGGTCGAGGTGGTGTAGCCAGCAGGGATCGACTCGACGGGGACCGAGGTCATAATGCCCGTAGGAGCGCGGGCGGCAGTCTCGGTGGCGGTAACGGGGCAGACGGTGACGCCGATGGGGACAATAACGGTAGTAACTTGGCCAATCTTGCCGGCGCAGTCGGTCATCTCAGGAGCGCAGCTAGCGATGGTGGAGGTAGTGGTACTGTAAACGGTCGAGGTGGTGAAGCCGGCAGGGATCGACTCGACGGGGACCGAGGTAAAGATACCCGTAGGAGCGCGGGCGGCAGTCTCGGTGGCGGTAACGGGGCAGACGGTGACGCCGATGGGGACAGTAACGGTGGTGACCTGGCCGATCTTGGCAGGGCAGTCGGTCACCTCAGGAGCGCAGCTGGTGATAGTAGAGGTGGTGGTGGCATAGATGGTCGAAGTGGTCCACTCAGCGGGGGCAGTGACGGCAGAGGGGTCAGCAATCTTGTCGCCGTTGATGGGATCAGCAGTGACCATGGAGACAACGCTAGAAACAACACCGGAGGGAACGCTGCCGGAAGGAAGGATACCGGTAGGGACAACGTTATCGCCATCGATAGGGCCAGTAACCTTGGAGCCGACGTTGGAAAGGACACCGGAGGGCACAACACCGGAAGGAACACCAGCACTAGGAACGGCAACGTTGTGGCCATTGATAGGGCCAGTGACCTTGGAACCAACGCTAGAAAGGACACCAGAGGGAACGACACCGGAGGGAACAACGCCAGAAGGAAGATCGCCAGAAGGAAGACCAACGCTAGGGAGGGCAACGTTATCGCCATCGATAGGGCCAGTGACCTTAGAGCCAATGCTGGAAACGACACCGGAGGGAACAACGCCGGAAGGAACAACACCGGAAGCAATAGCACCGGAGGGAAGACCAACGCTGGGGAGGGCAACGTTATCGCCATCAATAGGGCCGGTTACCTTGGAGCCAACGCTGGAAACGACACCAGAGGGCAGAATACCGCCGGGGGCGACGCCGCTGGGGATGACACCGCCGGGGACGGTGCTTCCGATGACAGCGCCGGAGGGGACGAGGCCAGTGGGAACGGCGCCAGTCGGAACAATGCCGCTAGGAACAAGGCCAGAGCGAACAGGGTCCTCGGGCGTAATCTCACCTTCGCAGTAATCGTCCTCGTCAGCGGGGCTGCCAATGATTTCGGAGCGGTCGCCAGAGGGAACGGCACCAGAGGGAACAATGCCAGAAGGAACGAGGCCAGAGGGAACGGCGCCAGAGGGAGCTGAGCCAAGGGGAATAGAGCCAGAGGGAATAGCGCCAATGATCTCGGAGCGGTCGCCAGAGGGAGCGGCGCCAGAGGGAACGGAGCCAAGGGGAATGGAGCCAGAGGGAATAGCACCAATAATCTCGGAGCGGTCACCAGAAGGAACGGCGCCAGAGGGGACGAGGCCAGAGGGAGCGGAACCAAGGGGAATGGAACCAGAGGGAATAGCGCCAATGATGTCGGAGCGGTCGCCAGAGGGAACAGCACCAGAGGGAACAGCACCAGAGGGAACAGCACCAGAGGGAACAAGGCCAGAGCGAACAGGGTCCTCGCCTTCGCAAACGTCGTCCTCATCAGCAGGGCTGCCAATAATCTCGGAGCGGTCACCAGAAGGAACGGCGCCAGAGGGGACGAGGCCAGAGGGAGCAGAGCCAAGGGGAACGGCACCAGAGGGAACGAGGCCAGAGGGAGCGGAGCCAAGGGGAATGGAGCCAGAGGGAATAGCGCCAATGATATCGGAGCGGTCGCCAGAAGGAACGGTACCAGAGGGAACGAGGCCAGAGGGAGCAGAGCCAAGGGGAATAGAGCCAGAGGGAACGAGGCCAGAGGGAGCAGAGCCAAGGGGAACGGAGCCAGAGGGAATAGCGCCAATGATCTCGGAGCGGTCGCCAGAAGGAAGGACACCGGAAGGAAGGGCACCGGTGGGCATAATACCGGTAGGAACAACGCCAGAGCGAAGAGGATCCTCGGTCATAATCTCGCCTTCGCAAACGTCGTCCTCGGTAGCGGGGCTGCCGCCAATGATCTCGGAGCGGTCGCCAGAGGGGAGAGCGACGGGGACAGAGGTGATGATGGAAGTATCAACAATGGTGGGGTTAACCTCGTGAGCCCCATCGGTAACGGAGGGGACCTTGGGAATGACATTCTCGTCCTCGCAGACCTCGTCCTCAGAGCTACCACCGGAGGGGAGAACGACGGGGCCAGAGGTGATGGCGGAAGGATCAGCAACAGTGAAAAAGCCACCGGCAGAACCCTCGGTGACGGAGGGGACCTTGGGAAGGGCAGACTCGTCCTCGCAGAACTCAGAGCTCAGGTCAACAGCCTCGGCGGAGGAGACAACAGTGTTGATCACATCGAGGAAAGTCATTCCGTTGGCCAAAGTCTGGCCGCGGAAGGCATCCAAGACCATGGCACCGCCGAAAGAGGAGCGGGTCTTGTAGGTGTTGATCAGAGCGGCAGCCTCGAGGGGCTCGATGTATCCAGAACCAGCGGCATCAGAAGCTCCAGCAAGACCGATGAAGAGCTTGGCCTCCTTGCTCATGCCGGCGGCGATGGCCTGCTCCCATTGGAGGTAGTTGAAGCCAGAGGCCGAGCCAGCCTCGCAGCTAGGGTTGTTGTAGAACTGGATGAACAGGGCATCGAACTGGGCGTTGTCGAAGATGGCCTTCAGCTTGACATCATCAAGCGAGCATCCGGGGGCGGCAGTAAGAAGGAGCTCGCCATTGCCGTTGTACAACTCACGAAGCTTCTTGGCCATGGCGGCATAAGCACCTTCGCCGGCTGCGGTGTGTTAGCCAATGTTCACTTTCTATTATTTGACTCTCCAAACCCAGGAATGACTTCACATACCTCCGTTGAGCTTGAGCTCACCATCCAAGTTGAAACCATCAACCGAGACGCGGTGACCAGCGTAGTCAAAAGGACGGGGTCCCGTCCACTTGGCATCGTAGGGTCCAAAGGCTCCCCACAGGAAGCTGGCAAACTCCTCGGCCTTGGCTTCGCTGGACAGAGAAAAGCGCGAGCCCATGTGCTCGACACCATCAAGGGAAAGCAGAACCTTCTTTCCCTTGTCCTGGCAGTGCTTAATGTCCGACGCAACGATACTGCACTTGCCATTCATCTGCCCGCTGGTTGTGCCGTTCGTGTAGTAGGTGGCATCGCAGTGAGCGCCAATAGTGACATAGTCGAAGTTGGCCTGGTCGCAGTGATCCCTGAGCCTGGCGTCTCCCTTCTGTCCCAAGTAAACGTTGACCTTGGCCTCGGTGAGGGCGTGGGCCCGGGCGGTAGCGGCCAAGACGGCCGCTGCCACTAGACTTTTGTGCATGATTATATTAAAATGATTAGCTTTGATATTGGAATACGATAAATGAGGTGTTGTAAAAGAGTATGTGATGAGATTGACTCAAAGAGTGGACGCAAACACGAGGCTTGCACGGCTGGAAAGCAGGCCGTTTGATGATGGGGTTGAAGAAGATCAAAAGGGACGTAGGGAGGATATAAAAGAAGAAGATACAAGAGCCAGATGGGTGGGCAAGCTCACCTTTCATAGTGTTTCTGATCATACACCGATGTTGAGAGCTAGCGTGCTGAGTGTCCATGAAGAGTCTAGCTCGCTGGATCTTCGACTTCGTGACGAGATGAGCCAGGCCCCGGTCCGGCCAAGCACCCAAGCTGGGGGTCAAAGTGCCGGTAAGCCAGCTTGGCCGACCAACATCTGTGCAGTTCGACTGTCATAATACAAGTGGAAATGAGCCACGAATGATTTTCTTGGGGTCTGGGGACGGAATTGTCCGTCTTCAGTCAGTGCTCCCAGAGAACCCCAGTTCAGAGATTGCGACGCATAATGAAGATCTCTGTATGTCGAATTGCAGAATCGATACTACTCGCTGGGCTGATTGTCTATACCTACATACAAAAACAGAGCCGTGAAAACGCTTTGGGTATACGTATCATGTTGTCTTCCTGGAACCGTAGGGCCGACTGGTGACGACAGCTCGAGGCAAAACGGGTCGAAGAGTGAAGATCCGAGCACGTCGACCGTGGCTGTGGTCATTCCTCCTCTCCTCATCCTCTCCTGGCTGCGTCTCCTGTCTCGCAGTAATCTCTGGGACCGCCTTTTGAGCTTGGTGGATATGTTGTCTGGGCTTCTAGCGCTGTGTTCAGAAATATGCTAAGCGGACGACAGATTCGATAGCTCGAGGGGGAAGAGTCTTGAACAATCCTAGCAGTCTTTCCCTTTCCGCTCAACAGGTTACATCGAATCGTATGCTCAAGGTCGAACCCCCCTGCCAAGACTGCAGTTGATGATGTTGGGTGCCATCAAGCACCAGCCTGCGTCGTACTGGTCTAGCCTTCTTGGGGTTTCAAATTCAGGAACAACAGCCGCGAAAACCCCGAAATTGTACCTGAAATAGCCAATTCCCCACCATGTACCCGGTCCCCTATTTTCCCCAGTGGATCCTACTCAACCATCCCGCCCGCTAGGTGTAAGTGAAAAAAGCAATGCTCCGGACAAGTGTTCCGGCGAAAAGACGCCTTCACCGATATCCTACGGTGTGTAAATCATAGCAGAATGTGATAGCGTTGCTTCGATGCCGTGTTATATGTTCTCCAGGTTTTCGTTGCGTGTCTCTTCCCATAGCGGTCGCGGGATATTGTGCATGGATGAAGTTGGGGTTTCTGTGCCCTATGCATGGTGTGCCACCCAACCGCCCCTGTGGATTCGTACTTTTGGATGCGATGCTGTCGACAGCCGGAAGAAATGAGGAAGAGATCAGCGTTTGGGCTTCGGCAACAGCTGTGCTCAGCCGGCCAGCTCCCGAAAATGGCAACACCTCACTTGCGGACAATCCTTGCCACTCTTGACCGCTGATCAGTGGACCGGTGGGCCTCCGACGACCGTTATCCGGATCAGTCCCACTTGGCCGGAATCACCACCGAAAGATTTAGGCGTCGAGTGGACTCCTGCCAAATAAATGAGCGTCTCCGTCCGGCTCCGATAACCAGGTACGTAGTATGCTTCTGTTACTTAGATAGATCTCCGGTGCCCATGTCTTCGTTCGTATCTGAGTTCGGGATTTCCGTGAGTTGCCGTCGTCTGGGGCCGAGCTCTCGGCTCGATGTCTCTGTCTCCGTTCCCGTCTTCGTTCGTGGGCGTCGCCGCCTGGGGTAGGTTTCTCAGCTCGATATTATCATTGCTGGGAAAGCATTCTTGGTTAGCTTTGTGCTAGCAAGATATGATAGGTATCGATCGGAGTCAACAAAGAAAATCATGACAAAAAATCGACTTACTTTTCCTCGCCGGCTGTAGCTCTCCGTGGCCAGGTCATGATCCTGGGTATCCATGCCCGAAACTTTTGACTATGTACCTATGAAAACAAGAAGAAACCACAAACTAACACAATGATCAAACCAATCGCGATATCTTTGTCTGGCGGCTTAAGCGGTTTTATCCGGTGCTCTACCGAGTGCTGTGTGGCATGGACTTCCGGATCCTTAGCCATCGTGCCGACAAGATGCAAGGCTATTATGACAGAGAGGGCAGCACGGGTAGCTATTGCACCGACAATAGGAAGACAGTAAAAATCGGGAGTTGAGAAGTAAAAGGTTGCAGTGATAGAGTGATGTATGCAACTAACGATTGTTGTGGCCAAGAAGCGAGACGATAATTAGAATGAAATGGCGGAATGAACTCAGAGCAGCAAAGTGAGAAAGTTTTGGTCTCCGGTAAGAGAACAAGAGAGAACTGAAGGATTTAACAAGTCAAGGGAAAGCCACGTGACGGGCACCACTGGGACGAGAGACGCTTCCTCGTAAAACACACATGCAGATGTGAAAGGACGGAATGGATGGGGTTTTGGAGGGTAAATGTGCCTTCCTTCCATCTTTTCAGGAGGGTAGGAGTGCCTGTGTGCTACATCACCTCATAGGTCGAACTGGGCAGGAGCAGATGGCTTCCGAGCTGGCCTCTTTACTACTTCAGTTTCTCTAGGTAAGCAACTCGGGGGTTTTGCTGCTCCAGTGAGGTGATGTCGGTTGCTCGCAACGAATGAACAAATTAACTTCATCAAACTTCTCCAGAGTAACACGAAGAAGAACAGGGGCAGGGGCAACTAAGATGATGTGTGGTACGTATGTTGCATTTACACCTTCCCGAGATATGCTGTGCGCTTGCTGTGGGGGGAAAACAAGATAATGGAAAGAAGGAGAATTCAACCTCCATCAGAAAGTCACCGTCAATTAACATCCATCGATTGCTCTCCTTTTGTCAGCTGATGCCCACGATTCATAACAGTACCTGGTATCAACATTGGTAAACCATCATCCCCACTGCCTTCTAGATCCTCTTCACCCTCCTCGCCCTCATCACTACCCTCGTAACTGCCTGTCTGGTCATCGCTGTCCCTATACTAGGTAGTATCATTACACTTACCGGACTTCACTTCCTCTACACTCCCGACTCTCACCGCATTTCACAATCTCTTCCACCTCCTTCCTCATACCGTTGATAACATTCTCGATGAAACTACCAGGGGTGTTGTTTCCGATCCGCAAATTCCCACCAGAAAAACCTCGAGCTCCTCAGGAGCCGACAATTTGCTGTGAGCAGCGGGCAAGGACCATCAATATTGCCATATCTCTGCAATATCACCCCCAGTGTACCCAACGGCTTGATGGTTCTTTAACGAGCTCGCAGATACTCTCATATATTGTCCTTTGATCACCCCTGATCTGAATTGAGGTGAGCATGTAGAGGAAATCTGCATTTAGACGGATGTTGTCTCGGAACCCTCGAGTTTTCTTCCATGGGATCCTATTGCTCCTGGAACTGTTGATTTTCTCTCATGGTGGTCAGTTGGACATTGCCAACAATAAAGCGTATTTTTAAATGGGATGATATGATATAAGTTTCTCACCTACCTAGTGATAGGTGATTCGAGCGAATCGACCGGGACGATAACAACTTGTTACTCGTCGAACCATATCCTAGATCGGCAAGCCATCAGCAACTAATTGATTCGTTGGAGTATCAACTACTTCGTGCGCCATCTCTCCAGACAGGTGCTCCGGGATGGCTCCGTCATCAGAAAAGTTGAGCCACAGTATGCGCCGCCCCGGCAGATGATCGTACATAGAGCCAAGTGCCACATGGAGGCGATTTTTATATCTGCTTCGGTGTTATGCATTTTAGAATATGGTAATACCCTCCGCTCACTGGGGGTTTTCCATTTGCTTTTGAGGATCATTTTAACCGTCTGGTGACTCTCCAGTGGTTTCTTCCAACAAGCTTGAGAGTCTTTTGCGCATCCCTGCCGTTGTTTGAGGGTCTGTTCAAACTCGTTCAATAGAGAGGCTGGACGTTTGGTTACGGTTGAGTTGGACTCTTCATCGGGCTTCGTGGTTCAATGTTTTAGGTCGATCATGGTTCGTGTTTACCAACGTGACTTGTCGGTAGGGCTCCAGGAAAATGACAAGCCGTTGGATTCGTAGTGAATTGCAAAAGAGCAGATAGAGGTTCTATCCGATGATGTGTGAAGAAAGGGAGTCTACACAAAAGTTAGCAAGAAGGACAGGGTTGTAGAATGATTTTAGGAGACGCGCGTGGAGATGTCTTGTGCAGATATCATCTCTTGGGACCTAACGAAGGGTGGCTGAATCCGAGAGGGATCAGAAAGCAGACAGAAGGTAAAACTGAATGCATGATCGATGGTTTTTGTTTATGAGTCGAAAAGTAAAAGGGGTGCCAGTTGCAGCTAAATGGTCTGGAGATGGAAGGCTGGAGTTGAGGGCATATCCAGCCCCAAGGTCACATACGGATCGCAATGAAAAGCACTGGGAGGGAGGAACTTTGAAAAGTAGAATTTTTCTTTCAACTGGCTCGGCACATTAGCCAGAAGAGCTCTGCCAAACTGACTCACTAAGAGAAAGGAGACTATGGTATAATCCTACAAAGCAGGATGTGTCTTCGACGGACTTTTGAAAGATGTAATCTATGAGGCGCTTTATGCAGAGAAATGTAGAGGTACTTCGTCTTCCGGACACCTCTGAGGCATTGTACCTCCTATTTCTTCACATCACGGACCTGTCTTGAACATCAGACAGTTAACAGGTACCCAAGTTCAGGTAGCCAATGAGGTTCATGTCGTTATCGACGCAGTTCATAGGTACCGGAGAGCATAGTCTGTTCGTGGCGAAACATGCATAAATGTATGCAACACGTACATTGGTGACTTAGATCGATTGTCTCAGTGGTGATGAGTTCGGACTTTAGTTTCACCAGATCTGAGACGGAAACTGCGGAAGGGAGGCTTGTAAATTAGAAGGAGGCAAATAAGTGTAGATAGAGGTAGCGGAGGGCAAGAGCGCAAGACGTGATTGCCGTGCTGTTGTTGAACTGGTACTGAAAACAGTCCTCTGGGAAGGAGTCAGGCATGTCGGTATATCTTCCATTTCCAGGCTCCTCAAGGGAGACTAAACCATATTATCGATTCAATAAGCTTGGTCTCATTTTTCGCTGACAGCCAGATGTTGCGAGCTGGGTTGGAATGGCTTGGACAGTTCGAACTAATGAAATGATCTGGGTGTAATGGGATGCATGATCGCAGTTAAGACTCGAAGCACGAAAGACAGTTTGGGAATGCGCAACCATCGTTTATGGATCTAAACACAAAAGGTAAGCATGAAAGAACGAGAGATGAAGGCTCCTTTATGGTACTGCCTTTTGAACGAGATGTTTTTGTGGCTTGCATCATGATCTTTCTGCAGATGTAAATGCTTTGAGTCGGTACAGACTCCCTTCTACTTTTCGAACCCAACTGACCGACCCTTTCTGTGAAATCCTGGGGATAGAGCGGGAAAGCGAGGCTTGTCTGGACTTGCCAAAAATTATCGCAAGGATGCTCTGTGTTCCCGCTTTCATGTTATACCGATCTGTTCACTGGTTCCTGCCTAGACTCTGAGATTTAGGCAATCCGTTGTCGGGCCTCCATGTAACTCCAATACCGTCTCCAGACTCGAGGCGGGAGTGAGTACTAGCTTCCAGGAATAATAACTGAAGTTGTATATCATTCGTTGAACGTCCCTTTTCTAGGCCAGATGTCCAATCATCAAGATCGGTTGGCCTTTTCCTCACTATTGTTCACCGTGACACAAGAGCGCTTGGTAATTGTGAAGATCGCGGCTCCAACTATTCAACAGAGGAGCTTCGACCAAGGACGTGGCACCAGATGGTCCCCGAGAAAGAGAAAGAGAAAAGGAGACACTATCACAAGAGATATTAAGCGAGCTGATGTGCGGCGCCTGCGGGATATTTGTTTGCGAATGACTCGTATGATGTTGGCCATACTGCAAACCATCAGACTCCCTTTGAAGTCGGCAAGGGGAATATGGGAAGATGCACACCTTATTACCTCTACACTCTCGAATGACGCGTCCCATGAGTAATGCACCAAATATTACCTGGGGATTCCATAACATCGAAATATAAGAGGGCAGCTGCTGGAAATGTTGCGCAGCGCAGGCATGCATCAACTTAGACAATTGACTATCAATCAATGTCAAGCAGCATGTTCCCTCTCTCGAATCGGTGCTCTTTTCACAACATCTAGACGCGGGTAGAAGCCGTCGACCTGAGACAAGTGATCTTCACAATAGGCGCGGTATCACGTCTGACAACATTCTCTCGTTCCTCCAATGTTTCAATGTTTCATCGTCGGGAACGCACTTTGGTGTTGAAACGCCAAAGTGGGGAGGGATAAACGGGCAAATCCCTGGGAGCCGCACGAGGGGGGGAGTTGAGTGGTTGGTTTGCGCATTCTCGAAACAATGGAGATGGAAAGAAACTTGTTCATACTTCTCCTTATACGCGTCCGCGAGGCGCGAGGCAGATCTGATGAAGATCTCGGGTTTTGAAGGCATTCCCGGCTTTGGGATAATGCTGTTGTCTTTTTTTTTGGTTAGGCGTCAGAAGGGATGATGGCATGTTACATCATCTTAGTTGCCTTAACATGCTCTGCTGCAAAGCTCGCCAGACGCTGTTTGGTATACATGTAACTTAACTGAACCAACATAGGCGCCAGGGGAGAAGGTTCTTGAATCTGTCGTGGAGGTTGCACCAGGACTTGGAGGGGAGGTCGGTTTGGTTGGTTGTGGCGAAATTATCTCCAAGGCCGGGACACCGGTGCGGACTGAGGTGAAGGTTACATCGGGGGACCCTTCAGATCTCGGACTGCCTTGCCCTCCACTTGTTGGCGATTTGGCTCATTGCTCGCTCCTCGCTCGTCTGTGTTTCCCCGTCGCTAGCAACCCCTCATGACACATTGCAATCTGGGGAACGTTGATGATTTTGTTTCATGGGAGAGGAGACAAGCTGGTAGCCGAGGCAGAGGGCGATTCGAGTGGTGTCGAATGCTGTAGGTATCGAAGCGCATTTCATTCCCTCGAGATTGCAGAAATCCTCTGGCCAATTTTCAAGGTACGGGCTTGGCAACCTTGCCCGATTTTCTCAGCTTCTCAAGAGTCTTGGCGATGGATCTCCTCAAATTCTCTCCATGTCACCTGCCCCGTCCGGGCTGTCTTGAGTGGAAGTGGAAATGGAGTCATGCTAACAATATGCAGGGCACTCAACCAGAACGTCGGTGGTTTGCGATGACGAGAGTGCGATAACGAGGGCAAAAGATGGTGTCTTGAAGACGGGGGTAAAGGTTGGGTTGGGATGACGGTTGTGCAGGCTTCAGTTTGATATCAAAAACCGTTATGCATGCCATTTTGGCTAGCGCATCCCGTCCGTCCCGTTGCATAATTCATCACAGATGATGCATGGAGACGCACAGAGCACAGGCAGGCCACTTCATTCAACTTGATATGGTTCATCTCGCCTTCCCAAACACGGTGGCGTCTTTGCAAATGGGCCGGCTTGTTGGTTTGATCAAACTCAGTTGGAAAGAATGCAACAGTCCGTCAACGTACATTAGACGCCGTCCTTGTCAATCAACACTCAGCCAGGCAAGACATTCGACCGCTGGAGTCGGAGTTTTTATTTATAAAATCTTGCAGACTCAGGCGCTGGGCCCACAGGGACAGAGACAAAGAGATCCGTTATACCAATGGTTCGTTCCATCTCGAATCGGGGTCAGCGGATGGGCGCTGGGTGCGCCAAATTAAGGGCCTGTCCCGGCACGCCCAGGCCGCAATACGAGGCCACGCGGGGCCAGTTGGCAGTCTCTGCCGGTCGTTGCCAGCCTGTCGGCATTTTTTCGGACGGGTGGCTGACCATGGCTGACCATGGCTGACAGTGCTTGTCGTCCCATCTTGGGGCGCCAAGTGTTTGCATCCTGCAGGACTTCGGGGTCTGTGGATATCAAACCCACAGTGCCCTACCGCTTGGTGCCCACCGTGTCCACTCTTTTGTACCCGACCCTCCGTTCCTTCCAGCGTTGGAGGTTGAAGGTGTGTTGTCCCCGTCGCCCGTCCACTTGTCTTCGTGACCTGAATGAACGAATGCCTCACTCCCGTCATTGCAAGGAAATGATGGGATGCAGAGATCACGCCGCGCTCTTTTCCCGCTCGTTCAAAATTCTACCATAGTGTAGTGTAGCCGTCCCACCCACCCACCCTTCCACCATTTCTATCGATCTAGTCTCTCGTTTCCCTTTTTCCACCCACTTTCCTATTTTCTTCCCTTTCCCTCGCTTCTATTGTCATCATAATTACACTTTCAAATAAAAGGGATCCTAACCCATACAATCGTTTCACCAACCGCGCGCACTTCCCTCGTTCGATTTCGCAACTTAACCCTATTCACACTTCCACTTCCAGTCTCGATATCCGACGACACTCTCCCCGCTGAGAGCAACCGCCTTCGTTTAGTTGACTGGTCGACATTCGCCGCGCCCAAGGGAAGCTAATTAGCCTGCGCTAAACCCAAGAACCGATCGTCACCTAGTGCACACCCGGGCCTCTCACCGAGCCAGCAGACTACTGGAGGGCGTCGAGCCAGTGTAATAACCCTTCCCCATAAGGGTTCGACGATTCCCACGCATACCATCAACCATCAACACCACATCAACACTTTCACATCAGTGTCATCATAATGCAGCTCAGTCGCCTACTTCTTGTTGGCCTTTCGGCCCTAAGTGTCGCCGAGGCCTCCTACATCCGCAAGGGCGTCAATGTCCCTCACCACAACAATGTCGGTCCCCTGGTGCGGAGAGCAGACAGCGATAGCTCCTCCGCCGACCTCCCCGTGGACACGAGCGTCGAGGTACCGACCCCAGAGACGACATCAACAAAGGCTGCTCCTACCACAACAACAAGCGCAGACCCACCAGCCGAGACCACCACCACGTCCAAGTCTGTTTCGGTGCCAGCTGCCACTACAACGTCACCCCCAGCACAGACAACCACGAAACCCAGCAACAACGACCAGGCTACAGTAACAGCGAACCCTAACGGCGAAGTTGCTTCCTCTTCCAAGGAAGCAGCAACAACATCGTCGTCCTCGGCTGGCGGAAGCGGTGGATCATCCAACAACGACGATGACAACTCCAAGTCCAGCACGTCTGTCAAGCCCATCATCAAGACCATCACCCAAATCATCACCACCACCAACGAGCAGGGAGTTGCGACAACCGTGACGAGCGAAGCCCTCACTACCTCGACCCCGTCTCCTAGCCTTGCCTCCGGTCAGGACAACAAGGACGGCGACATGTCGTCCCAGACCCGCAACACTGTTATTGGCGTCGTTGTCGGTATCGGCGGAGCCATCATCTTGGCCGGCTTGGGCATCGTTGGCTGGAGGATCTATGGCCGCAAGAAGCAGTCCGAGGAGGCCGACAATCTGATGGATTACAATGATGCTGGCAAGCCCGAAGTTGGAGGATCGATGGTTGGACGCACCCCCTTCCAAAGCACGCTGGAGAGCTATCATGCGCCGACGCATGTGAACCAGGCGTCAAACTTCTAATTTTTATCTTGCGATATATCCCCAAACAAAGAAATATGAAGTTTTTGCGTTGTTCCATTTCGCTTTCTAAAGCGTACCAAATCATCAGCGATCAAGATACCCCTTCCGCGTCTTTCAGTCGTCGCCGTCGTCGCCATCGCTGAGTTTGCCTGTTATCGGCTACGGCAGCCTGCATTTTTTTATTTTCTTTCACATAAAATGTTTTTCTAGATCTTACAAAACACGTGGCAATGCCATATCGCCTCAACATTCTTCTTTCTGACTCGGCTCTGCTTGGTTTTGAACCCTGGGGGGCTCACATGTATATGTTGTGGCAATCTACCGGTGGTGGGCAGAGCATTTATTTGGTATGCGTTTGGGGGAGGAGAAGATGCAACACAAAATTGATGTACACTACGTTTCTCTACGTACACACACTCATTACACTCCCATATCACGAAAAGATAACGAAATTTGAAAGGGTGGAAAAGTCATAGCAGAGCAGGCAAGCAAGCAAGCAGAGAAATGGATGGACGGATGGATGGATGGATGGATGGATGAATGGATAGAAGGAAAGATATTTCCAAATCATATAACCGTTCCAACAAACCCACATTCCGCGTGAAGACAGTTTAGTCGAAATGACCTCAATTGCTTTCGTGATACACTATCAGCCAACGATATTACAACTTGCTGGGCTGGATAGACACGAAGAACATGGAACCCCACGCCTGTCTGACAGAAGGCTTTCCCCAGAGCCTTCTTCCTTGCTCGCCATCATCATGCTTTGACTAGACTTACTCATTAGTAGCCCGAATTTACTCGAGGAACGGACAGACGTTAGCGAACCACCTCCGTAAACAAGTAATTGTACTTCAGGCTGTTGGTCCCCAGGGCATCCTCGTTATTAACTAATCTCAGATAGATACATTAGACATAAGCAGACCTAAGGAATGCGAAGGAAAGACGTGTCGATGCTATGGAAGGTACTTTCTTATCATAGATGGGCAGTTGAGAGTCAACGAAAGCTTTAACTACTTATGTACATTAATAGATTCACTCTTTTCTCTTTCGAAATCGGAACAGCTTCGGTATCTACATAACTTACGTATTTCCCTCAATTTGCTCTGGATCCCCGCGTTTCCCAGGTACTATTTCTAAACAAGTTGATGATGTGGGTGTTCTAAGGCGAGAGATCACGGGTTAGAGGTACCTATGGTATAAGCAAACCTTTTTTTTTTAGAACTGCCCCTGAGATGATGGATGCTACATCGGATACCTCCCCGTTACACTCCTCAATCTAGTGTAGGTAGCCGACTCACTTGCTCGGAAGAAAAACCTCGACTGGGTGGATGGCCATGGTTGTTGACCAGGGAAGTCAGTCAATCGTCACTGCACTCACTCAGTCGGCGCTTTATACGATATTAGAACATAGAACGTAGATCATCGTGTGCAGTGCGCCATGTAAAGAAACCTTTTTATGCGCATCAAGTTCTTTAGTCGATCACCTACTTATTTTTTGTTTGTTTCTGATGCCTTGTGGGTGGCTTAGCTTTTTACATATGTAGATGACAAAAATATTGGTATGGTTCCATTCCGGTCGGTGGTCGGATCGGGGCCGAGATTGGTAGGGAGGCATGGGAAGGATTGTTCGTTGTAACCATGGACAGCACCCTCGTCTCAAGATTGTTTCAGCCTTTAGCATTGCCCGAACTACCTACTGGCTGGAGGGCGCTTCTGAACCTGAGAATGATGAACTCTTTCCTTTCTTTCTTTGTCCTGAGAGTGTGTTCGCTGGGTTTATTCTGAAAGATCATCTTCACCAATACGAACGACTTTAGTTTAGCTGGGCTGTGACGGCGACGAATTCGGACCTGCTTGCTGCCTGTTTGAGTTGTTTTCCGGGCTTTTTCTTCGAGTGGAATCATTGGGGTTAACAACACCTTGCGACATCTCGGCGCACAATACTACTGGCAAGGACGAGACGAGACGACGAGCACTACGAGCCGAATCGCCTGGGGAGAACACCGAGTAACCTGCCTCGACTTTGACCAGAAGTCCGAGTACAAGTTCCAAGTCGCGGAGTCCGACTTGAAGCACCGATCCATCATGAAGAAGCCCACTCAGCATCTTCGAACGACAACAACGACGACGGCGATCCTCTTCCTCGTCCTCTCCAGCTACGCAACAGTCTTTGCCGCCTCACCAGACTCACCCACCCTCGAAGACACTCTCCACGCAGAACTTGACTTCGCCTTCAACCTCCCGCGACAAGTGTCAACAGGCCAGGAGCTCGACTCCTTCTTCCACACAGCCAACTTCCTCGGCGAAGCATCACCGCAGCCGATAGTCTTTTCGGGGAACCCTTCAAGGCCATTTGAAGTAAATGGTGAAACCTTTGTGAGTCTTTTCTCTTTCTTTGTCTGTTCCCTTGCAGCTTCAGGGCCAGGATATAGCCGAGCGTTTACCATGCTACATTTTACTTGTATCGAGTACTGACGATGTACTATTTCAGCCTGACTTTGCAACAGCAGCCAGCCGCGTCTGCGACAACCAAAAGAATGCCTGCGCGGATACGGCGAATGATGAGAACAAGAAGACGAGTTTTGGGGTTAGTGATTGTGATAAGCAACGAGGTCAGTGATTTGCTACTAGTGTGTTTTTTTTTTCTTCTGAGGTTTGTTTTCCAAAGAGTGAAGAAGAGTGGCTCTTTAGGATCAAAGTAGTCCCTGATGATTATTCCTATGCGATGCCCGCTTGTTAACATATGACTCTTTTAGAACAATGCATGAACTCGATAGAGTCGGCGACGGAAACGAGCTTCGCGGTCAAGCCGGGACCGACGCTGGTGGTGTCGAATGCGACGCATGATATTTTCTGTGATGTGTAGAGTATGTGGCTCCAGACATTGGCTTTCGTTCAGATTGGTGATGACGATGATGGGCGTTCGTGTTGAGGAATCACGGGAACCTTGGGGCATCATTTTTCGATATCGAATCAAGATTGACATGGAAGCGCCCGGGTGAGCCATCCGCTGGAAGGGTTAAGTTGTCCGTTTCATCTTGACCTTCTTTTAGAATTTGGGCTCGTCCATATGTTGACATTTGAGTGTTTGCGAGGACAGAGGTGTCGAAAGACTAGGTTGGCAACCAAGTCGCAAGAACCTTGATAGGCAGTACCCATGGCGTCGCTGCGTCAGTGGACTGAATGGTACAAGTGGTATCAGCGACCTGCAGCAAGCGGCGTGCCTTTTTTTCCTTCTCGTCCGTTCCTTGCTCACGGCAACGAACGATCGATCGGGTTTCCCGCTCTGGAGATCCGGATGATGCCGAAGAGACAATGAGCTTTCTTTTCATCAAGTTCCATTCCACAGCCAATGGCTGACTTGGACAAGTTGGTAGATTTGAAACATCAACATTCCAACAAAGTGTTTTGCTTCACAAGGCCAACCAGTTCCAGCACTCCACATGCGAACCAGATCTTGGGGACCCGTGTGTTCCGGCCTCCTTGGGTATCGCTGCATGGCTCTGCCAGTTGGTGGGCCCTTGGTGGTGCGGGAGGCCATTTGATCCGGGTTGATGCCAGCACGTGTGGTGTAGCCATGCAGTGGTGATGCAGCAGCCTCTCTTCTTACTCGTCGTCGTGGAGAAACCCGTCGTGCCCGTGGCTTGCCCCTTTTTCCCGCTGGACGTGTTCCTGAATGGACGATGTGAGTTTCAGTTTGGACAGAGCCTCATCGTGGTGTTTTGCTGCTGCAGTGTAATCCGACAACGCAAAGGATTCATCCCCAAAAAAGGAAATGGGGAAATGGCAAGTATACTTCATGTAAAAACAACACAGGCAAGTGAAGAAGTACGGACGGCTACGGGGAGTCGAAGCGAAGGATGGAACTGAACGGGAGGAGAAATGGAAATGTTCTATGCAAGCGCGGGTAGCACAGTCAACAGTTAAGAGGTACTTGGCGACCGCCTTGTGACAAGGGTTTTTTGGCCAATGCGGCTCAAGATTGTGAAGGGCTCGCTGTGTGGGCGGCTGGCCTTGGCAGCGTGGATACAGAAGCCCGTTTCTCCCCGCTTTGTACTCGCCATCTGTCGAATCGCACGATGGTGTTCGGCGGACAATGTGGGGCAATCAGGGACCATTGATGGACTCGGCGAGGGTGATTGCTGCGCAAAAAGGGACAGAAGACGGGACGGATGGTGAGAACGACGGCTGGGAAAGAGAAGAAACAAATCCCACGGCAGCGGGCGGTCAAGGGAAAAATAGGTAGGGTAAGGAACTGTTAGGTAGATTGGCGACAGAGGCACTCAGTCACCACTGCCGTGTAGTGTAGTGTAGTGTAGTGTGTTAACAGCTGAGGTCCCACCCAACCTCCAAGGCAAGTCTACCTCTGGAGGTAGCTAGTACTCATCACCTGCAGCAGCACCTCAGCTGCAGCATCAGGTGGGCGCAACAACCTCCATCATCTGCAACGAACCACACCAACCTCAACTGTCAACCAAGCAACCTTTCTCCCTCCATCGATCCATCCCGCTCTCGGTCCTCGGTTCGCCCACTGTCCTCCTCCTACCACTCACCACTGCACACCCTGCGTCGGAAACGGAATCCTCAGAGTCCAGTCGTGGAAAACGCGTCGACAAACGCTCCATCCACAGCCGATACTTTGCGCGTCTTTGAGTGTTTCAGAAAAGTCAACTACCTCTACCTCTACACCTCCCGCTCTACAACACTATACAACCCACTTACCGGGCCTTCTCTGAAAAGTCAAGAGCCTCCAATTCGCAGCGGTGAAAGAACAAGGAAAAAAACAGAGCAACAGAGCCCCCTCGATGCGTTCGGAACTCCCGTCCAGAACCGTTGTTGCCTTCACCCCTTCTTCTTCTTCTTCTTCTCTTCGCTCATTTGTTGACTTTGGGACGACCCCGTAGTTAGTTCGTTACCGACTTTTTATTTTCCTTCTGTCCAGTCTTCTACCTCTAAACTTCCTAATTGCCCCTTTTGGCTCTTCTGGTACTCCATCTTTTTTTTTTTTCTCCTGGTCTCGCCATTTGTCGACAGCTTTACTTACATACAGACCGTTACCGCGTGGGACAGTGGTAACGAGGGGGAAAGGGAATATCAACGTCACGACCCTGTGGTGTTGACGCAAACTGAAATACAACAAAAAATAAAATCGAGCATCGGTGGCAGACAGGCTCCGGCTTCGTCTGCACGCTGATCTCGTCCAGGTAAGCTTAAATCCATACATCCACTTTTTTTGTAGCTCTCGAGCCCGTCAACCCATCGTCCCCGTCTCCATAGTCCATGTGTATACATTCTCTGTCAGTTCTGAAATTCTGAAACCTCCCACTCCTGGCAACCTGACTAGGTAGTGATTCACATGCTACAACTCTCCCACGGCCTTTCGCATCCTGGTTGCTAACCTTGGACCTTTGCCTCCACCTTGTTCCAGGTATTCCAAAGACGTCTTCCCTAAAGTCGTCACCGCGAACCCCTCCTCCTGCTGCGGTCGCGCAGGACGGTATCAAGAACTACTTCCGACACCCATCTGGATCGCCGACCTCTCCTGCCCTGTCGAGCGCCTCCACCGCCCAAGGCGAAGCTTCCCCCGAGCTTCCGCCCTTGCCTGTCCCCAGACTTCCTCTCCGGGTTCAGGGTCTTCTGAGAACTCCGCCCACCATCTCCGTAAACGAAGACGAAGTCGACGGAAGCCGCTGGGGTTCCCCCTACCCCCCAAACCTGCGGATCGAGAATTCGAGCAGTGACGACGAGGAAGACGACGACGACTCCGAATCCGAGCGAGATCCCATCCATACCCTAGCGCTTCAAACCCGCTTTCTGCGACCCGCCCCGCCCACTCAACAAGACAATACCTCCGAGTCCCGGTCATCCTTCATCAGCGGAGCCGCAACCGTCCTCGCTAATCGCGCAAGGCGCCTGGTACACGGAATCACAGAGGACTGGATTCGCCAGCATACAGCTCACGGTAGCGAGCGAGAAAAGCTACATTGGCTAAGCGACGGCACTGGTGATAGTGAGAACTCTTCACTGAGCGACTCATTTTCCGGTGACGAAGACACCGCTTGGCTAGGAGATCACCTTCTTACTCCCAGGGCGGATCGTCGACGAAGCAGCAGGCGAAGCAGTAGACAGCGCCAGGAATCACAGGGTGCTCTCAAGAAGCAGTCGAGCACTGATACTCTAAGACAGTCCCGCCTGGTCAGCAGACAGGCAAGCAAATCCGACATGGCGTCCCCGAACGAAAGGGCATCGCCGCCCGACGTCACTATGGCGAGTGACCGTGCACCCTCAGTCTCTCCATTTCCCGAACGAACACCCTCCACAAGCCAGTCAGTTGGCGCAACAAAGCCCGAAGATGCCTCCAGCATGAACATTCCAAAAGGAGAGCCTGTAGCTCCTTCCACACCGTCGAAACCCGCACCCAAACGTACCTCTACGCTCGCCGTATCGCCTCGAATGAAGAAGAAGGTCCCATGGAAGGGTAAAAGCGTCATGATTCTGATTCCCAAGGATGACGAGCGTGGGCAACCAGGCAAGGCTCCAATTCCTCTCTCCGAATCCGAGGTTCAGGCAAGGATGAGAAGCTGGCAACAGCAGGGTCATGATATCAGTGGCTTTGATCTGGAGCCGCCAAAGACCGCGAATCAGGAGTCCACTTCGCAAAGTCGAGGATCCTGGCCCGATTTCGATGATTTGATACAGGAGCGACAGGAAAGAAGCTGGAAAGTGCTTCTTCCCGACTTGAATGGTAAGATTCCACCCTGCTGATTGTGACCTCTGAAGGTATGCCTAGTAACATTCGCCATCTAGCTTGGAAGAGATACGTGGACGAGTTGACCGAAGCAAAGCTCAGAGCTCTAGGAGTATCACTTGGGGACGACGAGCCCCCACAGCCTTCGGTTTCTCCGGCCACATCCATGAGCCGACAGCCTTCGGTCGCCAACTACCCTCCGCTCCCCTTCTCACCTCCGCTGCCGACTTCTTCGGCCGCAAGTGGAGGTGGTCTCCCGGGCTTTCCTTTCCATGGTCTTGGGCCATCGCCTACCAGCCCAGGCCTCCCTGCCGGCATGTCGCCTGCCTCGTTTACATCCAAGTATAATCCTCGGGCTTCTATATCGATCCCATCTCCACATGCCTGGTCTCAGCAGATGATGATGCAACAACATGGACACCGCATGGGTTCACCCTCGCTTGCTAACCTCAACGCGATGATGTCTCCCAGCTCACCATTTTCACCAGACGGTGGTCTCTTTAGTCCCATGGGCCATATGGGCCATATGAGCCATCACCGCCATCAGTCCTTGCAGTTACCCATGTTCCAGCATCCGCCTCAGCATCAGCTCCAGCATCAGTTTGCGCCGCCCCCACGAGCATCGCCGCGCTTGCAGGATCTTCACGAAATCGTAGAAGAAGAACCAGCTCAAGATTCCGTGCGCGCTCCCGAAGCCGGCCTTCTTCCCCATCACAATCCAGGCGACGATTTGCAAAGGGAAATTGATGAAGCTGAATACCATTTGGAAGAACAGATGCGCTCGCAGCTCGAAAACGATCAAGATTACAGCCCGCACAGAGAGGAACATACCATCCCGCCGGTTAACCCCCATGCCAGAGACTCGTCAGTTAACTTCGCTCCCCAGCAACCTCAATTTGGTGCTAGTTCGGACGGCCTTGTCTTGCATCACCCGAGACCGCACAGTCGCGGACACTCGCTGTCGCAAAAATACTTTACCGAAGAGGACATCTCTAATAGTGGAGGTGGTTTTAGGCCTAGTCTGCAGCCGATTGACGGACCGGCTGCTGAAGACGACGAGATCGAGACGAATCCGAGCAACCTAGGAACGCCCATCCAAGCGCTCGAATTCCAGAAGATGATGCATCAACATACCTTGTCTAATGCTAGTAGCTCCTGGAGCACCGGAAAGCCTGCGGTTGGCCCCGCCCCTAAGCATGCCAGCCATGGTAGCAAGTCTTCGTTGTCCAAATTGAACGTGGAAGCGCCCGAATTCAAGTATAACCCCAACAGCACTTTCACGCCGCAGTTCACCCCCCAGGTCGCCACGTTCTCTGCTGCCACCAGTCACTTTGCCGCTTCAGCACCTACGACTGGCGCCATCAACCCTACTGCGTCCGTGTTCTCTCCTACTCAAAGCGAGTTTGGCCTCAAGTTTCGCCCGGATGCGCCTGCCTTCACTCCTAATTCGTTTGCAACGCCGACCGCAAACCCCGCGGTGGAAAGCGATGCTAAACCTGAGAGCTCGGCTGTTGATGCCGGTGACCAGGAGAAGGCCGAGATTGTCTCGTCTGCTGAGGAAAGCAAGGCTATCCCAATCTTGCCACCCAACAAGGAGGCTCAGACGGAGGAAGAGAGGTACGAAGCAGAGGGGCAATTCGACGGTGTTACTTTCACCAAGTTGGATCATCACAATGTCGAACTGGACAGTGTGGCTCCTGCGGCGTCAGAAACCGCTGAGAGTTCTACTCCCGTGGCTGAGTCTAGGCCAAACAAGGACGAGGAGGAAGACCTTCCGATTGAGGAGAAGTCGTTCGACGAATCTACTCATGGTCACCCAGACATGACACTGTCTTCCACCATGGCATCTGAGACGACGGATACTCAGGCTACGGTAAGCCCGCTAGAGCAGGCTGCAGATCCTATGTCTTTGAACTGGACTGTCTCGGAGCTCAAGGATCCTAACCCGTTCAGCGACGATGCGGCTACTCATGGTCACAAGAAGTCTCTCTCTGCGACTGCTTCAGCCTTTGTGCCTGGAATATCGACTTGGCCTATGGAAGTTACAGATGTCGCTACTGGCTCTTCTCAACAGCCACCTCAGCAGACGCCTGTTGTAGAAGTTGCGGAGGTAGATCATACGGAAAAGGTACCTGCAGAGCCTGACGTGGTTACTGTGCCATCGAAGCCTACTAAGGGGCTCGCTGCTTCTCGATGGGCTCCTAAACCACCACCGCCCAGACGCGAAGGGTCCAAGAAGAAGGAGAGCATGAGCATTACAACGACTGCAGAACCCAGCTTTGACGACATTGACGCGGTCATGCGCCATCTCAGTGCTAACCCAGACATGGGAATCAAAAAGCCCACTGATAGTGGTGGTCAAACTCAGTGGCACCAGCCCAACCCGACTCACCCCATTCCTTTGGAGGCAGTTGCAGATTCATCGTCCTACCGTCAAGCTGAAGATCACTCTCGCAGTCCTAGCCCGGCTCCGCGCAAGTACACCGGTCTCCCTCTTCAGCCGTCACAGCCAATTCCCACAACCGAGCTGGAGGATCCCTTCCTCGACCCGCCCACCAGTGCGCAGCTCATTGAGGGACCTGTCCAACGCCTCAATGGCAGTGAGGACGTGCCAGTTAGCGACTGGAACGGCGACTTCACCGAGGATGAGCAGGAAAAGCTGGAGTCCCGTGTCACTTTCTTCAATGGGCAGGTCAATGAAGTTGTTGGCGGTATCCTGGATAGCCGTCTTGGCCCACTAGAACAGACTCTTGATACCATTAAGCACTCTCTGGCTGCTATCTCGAGGAGAGCTGTCTCAAACCGCCGAGACGTGCGCAGCGCCTCTGCTGAAGTCCGCGATAGCGACGCCGATGACGAGGATGACGATCTGCCTACTACTCGCCGTTCCATCAGCCCGCGTAGGGACCGTAAGATGGAGCAAATCAAGGTTGCTGTTATGGAAGCCCTCGCTTCTCAGCAAAGAACCAGGCCAACGTCCTCCTCTGCCAAGTCGACTTTTGGCGACCGGCCTGACATCCTTCAGGCCCTTGAAGAGCTGAAGGCTCAGATTACTCAGCCAAAGGTCTCCTCGGTCGGCAGCGATGACATCAAGAAGATTGTTGAAGAAGTGGTGCATAACCGCCTTGAGCCTGCAGTGGATCAAGCCAAGGAGGCCCAGGTCACTGACCTTCAGGCTCGCGTCCTGGAACTCGAGGAGCGACTCCGCTCTCAGGAGGCCAAGGTGGAGACAGAGATTGCGGCCAGGCGCGCTGCCGAGGACCGTGCGTCGGATCTCACCCGTGAGCTCCAGTCTGCTGCGACCAAGATTGAGGTCGAGATGATGAACAAGAGCGCCCTGAACCAACGGATCGCCGACCTCGAGAACCATTCCCACCAGTTTGAAGAACAGGCTGAGAAGGAGCAGAAGGGCCGGAGAGCTGCTGAAGACAAGCTTGCCGAAGTCCAACGCCAATTGAAGCTCACCACAGAGGAGGAGAGCCGCCTCAAGAAGGAGGTCGACGAGAAGGACCATAAGATTAGAGCCATCGAGGCCGCTAACAATAAGGTTGCCATGCGCTTGACGCAATTGGAAGCCGGCACCGAGCACACTCAAAAGTCTAGGAGCGAAGCGCAGAATCGGATTAACATGTTGGATAACGATCTTCGGACTGCTCGGCAAGAAGCTCGGCACTGGCGATCTGAGGCTGATAGAGTCAGCGAGCTTGCCAAGCGTCGTGATGCTGATCTTAGCAAGGCTCTTGACGAGAACAAGGCTTTGCATAAGCTGATCGATACTCTTGGTACCCAGGTCCAGGAGAACGAGCGCGTCCGCGACAGCTGGCGCACCAAGTTCCTTGCCCTTCAGGACGAGATGGCTCACGCTGCTCGGCAAATCACCGAGGAGAACGCCAGGCGCGCCAAGAAGGAGCAGACGTTGATTGCCCGCCAGGAGGTCTTGGATGCCAAGCTGCAGGCTGAGGCCAGAACTCGTGAACGTATCGAGACCGAGCTGGAGAGGCTGGAGATGAACGAGCGGCAGGGCATGAGAGCTGTTGCGGAGTGCAAGAGACTTGAGCTGCTGCTTGCGGAAATGCGCACTGAGAACCATAAGTTGCAGCAGAGCGCTTTGCGATTCAAGGCTGAGTTTCAGGAAGCTAGGGAGTCCGCTGCTCGCGAAATCACGCGTACTCGCAATGCCATGCAAGCAGAGGTTGAGCAAGCCAACCACCAAGTTAACGCTGTCCGCAGGGAGCTTGAAGATGAGCTTAACAGACTCAGATCCCAGATGGACCAGGTTAAGTTGGACGCCGACACAGCCAAGGCTCAGCACGACATGCTCCTCGAGGAGGCTCAGAACTCGAAGAAGACGGAACTTGATGAGCTCATGCGCAAGCATCAGAACGAGGTGGAGGATCTTCAGGCCCGCTATGAGCGTCAACTCAGCAACACCACTGAGGACGCCCAACGGACGGAGAAGAACCTCTTGGATCGCTTGAGTATCGAGACATCCAAGGCCCAGCATCTCCAGGACAAATTGTTGCATGTCGAGGAGAAGCTGGAGATTGCCAAGGAAGCTGCTCGTGCCGCCGCTCAAGCGGCCAAGGCTTCTGTGGCCGGTACTCCGGCGGATCCCGCGGTGTCCAAGTCCACCCCCAACGATGTCCCGCCTTCCGAGAGAATTTCGCCCCAAGCTCTCCGCGAGTCCATCATGGTCCTCCAGGAGCAGCTCCAAGCCCGCGAGCTTCGCATCGAGGAACTCGAGCAACAACTCGAGAAGGCCGACCCCGAAGCTGAGACCAAGATTTCTAAGCGCGACGACGAGATCATCTGGCTCCGCGAGCTCCTTGCTGTGCGCCACTCGGATCTGCAGGACATTATTGGTGCTCTTTCCAGTGACAACTACGACAAGGACGCGGTCCGGGATGCCGCTATCAGGCTGAAGGCCAACCTCCAGATGGAGGAGCAGGAGCGTGAGCGCGCGATGAACGGCGGGTCGGCCATCAACCTACCCAACATTGCTGCGACGATCAGAGAGGCGGCCACGCCGCGTGTTGCGCAGGCTGTTGGTCCTCTGGCAGCCGCCTGGGGCAACTGGAGGAAGGGCAAGGACCTGCCGGCTTTCGGCAGCTTGAGCAGTGTTTTGTCCGCGTCTCCTGCGCAGAGCCGTAACGTCACGCCGTCGAAGCCAGCCTCTGGGTTCCTTGGCGGGAACCCGACGCCCCTCACATCTGGATCCGCCGGTTTGCGCAAAGCTTCCCACGCTTCCGTATCGACGGGCAGGTCTACAGCCGAAGCCCAGCAACAACCTCAGCCAACTGCTTTCTCAGCCACCGGTCGCAGGTTCACTCCTCAAGAACTATCCAAAAGGGCACTGCGCCAGAATCAGCAGCAGCAGAGGTCGAGAGGGCCGTCCACGGCGTCTATGCATATCCAGCAGCCGCAGCAGGTGGCTGAGGAGGAGACAAGTGAAAGGGAGCTATTGGAGGTTTCTATTTCGCCTTCACCTGACCCCTCGACACTTTCGTTTGCCCAAGCTCAACAGCATCGGAGGAATATCTCTTCACCTATGATGGCTCCTCCGATGACGAGGTCCGGCGGCATGTACGATAGCGACGCGTCGCCGGTGGAGGATTTTGATGATGATGGGTTTTTTGAGGATGATTGAAGGGGTCCTGAGGAGCGTGGATAGGAGTGAAGAAGGGACGGAGAGAGGCTGAAGGGGTACTGTGGTAAATGGGCCTCTTCAAAATGAAGAGGCTCGGGAAGATTTCTTTTACTTTTATTTCTTCGACCTTTCAGATCACCTTGTTTTTGTTCGCACAGAATTTTTTTGCACGTATAAGAATGAAAGAATGGGACAATGTCGTCATGCAGAGATGATAGAGACGAAGACGATGAAGACAGGAGCAGGGAAAACAGGAATGGAACTGGATGGGAATACAAAAGGAGGGGACGAAGAAGGGGTATACAAGAGGAAGCGAGAGATACACGCACATAATTACCTGGCTTCTTTTCACATACATACATACACACACACATATACCTATCAGCGATGTATTTCTTACACCTTAAATCTTACACCTTATTCAGAGTTGTATGCCCTTTTTGCTGGGATTGTTCGGGGAAATGTGTGAGAGCAACGAAGACTGAACCAAAGCGAGATTTGTCAAAGGAGGGGGTTGTAATGGGGTGGTGGTGGTCGTGGAGGAAGCTGATGTGATGTACCCAGATAGGGTGGGTTTAGGACGGAGGAAAGCGAGCTGTTTGTGATGATTACCAGGGACCGAAGAAGGGAACGGGCCGTTGATTGAACGATAAGAGATCAGGCGCGTCGCACAAGAACGGTTTCCGGGTAACATGCCGGTAAGCTGGCGTGCTCGGGTGTCACACGGATAATGATAATAGGGGTGGAGGACCAATGAAGTTGTTGACGCCATTTTGCATTGATCTCTCGGTTTGTGGATGTCACTCAAACTTGGGTTGCTATGTGAACTTGGTAACTGCCGCTCTGGAGATAGCGACGTATGTATGTAAATTCAGAAATGTCACCTCTTGATCTATTGGGCTGAGCTGAACTCCCCTTCTAGAATAAGCTTGACAACCACGGACGATGGATGACCCCTCATTCAGCTCCTCACCGGTTTGACGTCGATGGCATGGCAGCTGCCATGAATGAGGCTTGCTCCTTCGGCTAAAGTAGGTATGTATGAACTTTGCTCGTTTGACATTTCCGGTGTCCTTCATACTGCTCTCCTTCCCCATCCTGTTCTGCGAAATTAACGTTGGACAGATCTGCTATCCAACCCCCTTTGTTCCTCGATCCCTCAACGTATTATGCGGCCGTGAATACAGATCCTCAGACAACAATGGCCTCAACAACAGCCTTTCTCACACGCCTCACCACCATCACCTTCTCCTCCCTGACTCAACCCCTCCTCATCATGTTTCTCCTCTCCTTACTCACCCTCTATACCGTCTACATCGCTATTTACCGCCTCTACCTCAGTCCCCTCGCCGACATCCCCGGTCCCCGACTTGCCGCGCTGACAAAATGGTACGAGTTTTACTACGAAGTCATCCTGCACGGCCAGTACACCTTCAAGATCATCGAGCTGCACAAGCAGTACGGGCCCATTATCCGGATCAACCCGTGGGAGGTACACATTGCGGATCCAGATTTCCACAGGGTGTTGTTGCCGACAAATACAAATCGACGGAGACATCGGACGCCGTTTTTCACGAAGCAGTTTGGGGCTGATGGTATGTTCTTTTCTCTCTCTCCTCTCTCTTTTCTTCTTTTGGTGCGTAGGATTTTTGGACGAGGGCTAGAAGAAAGCAAAGCTACTAACGCGGGAACATGGCTGGAACCTGAAAACAGAAAGTATCGTGGCTACCAATGATCATGATCTCCATAAGCTTCGGAGATCAGCGGTTGGCCCTTTCTTTTCGACGCAAAACACGAGAGCGCTACAGCCGGTTATCGAGGAGAGGGTTGATGCATTGTTGGCCAGGCTTCGAGAGCATGGAAAGACGAAGAAGGATATTCCGTTGAATATGATGTATGCGTATTCGGCCACGTCTTACGGTAGGTGTTCAGTTTGCCGGCATCATTTCTGAGGGAAAAAAAAAAAAACCTTGCTGACGGTGATGTGATAGACATCATCAGTGAATACTGCTTTGCCAAATCTGAACATGCTGGTCAGTTATCTACCACTAGACTCCAAAAACGGCTTGCCCAAGATACTGTCGTGCTGACAGCTCTGTAGTGGAGGACCCCGACTTCCGCGCCGAAATCACCAACGGGATCTTGACCGGTTCCAACTACGGAAAAATCTTCCAACACTTCCCTTTCCTCGTCCCCTTCCTCGCTTCGATCCCACCAGGGATGCTCGCCGCTATTTCCCCCTTCTACCGCACCTTCCTCCACCTCCGCGCCTGCATCACGGCCCAAATCGGCGAAATCGAAAAGTCTCTCCGCTCCGAGGAAGGCAAGAACGCCCACCTCGACATCCCCCATCCCACCATCTTCCACTCCTTCGTCAACACGGAAGCACTCCCTCCTATCGAAAAGTCCGTACCGCGGATTGCCCAAGAAGGCCAGGTCCTTGTGCAAGCCGGCACAGTCACCACCTCATGGGCCCTGACCATCTCGACTTTCCACCTTTTAGACCAGCACGCCACAGCTCTCGCCAAACTGCGCAAAGAGTTAAGGGAAGCCATTCCCGATGACGCCAACGAGCCCGTCGATCTCGCTCGTCTCGAACAACTCCCCTATCTCCGCGCAGTAATCAAGGAGAGTATGCGTCTCAGCGTTGGCGCATCGGGTCGAATCACGCGCGTGGCGCCTGACGAAACACTGCGGTTCAAGCCCTCCAAGTTATGTCTGCAATGCTATCCAGACCAGCTGAAGACGACAGAAGACAAGGAAAAGGAGTGGCTGCTTCCTCCTGGGACGGAGATCTCCATGACGAGCTACCAGATTACTACGAACCCGGAGATCTTTCCGGATCCGCACGCCTTTGTGCCGGAGAGGTGGTTGGGGAAGGAGAACGAGATGAGGCTTGACAAGTACATGACGGTGTTTGGACACGGGGCAAGGGTTTGTTTGGGGATGCAGTTGGCGTATGCGGAGATGTATTTGATGTTGAGTAAGATGTGGAGGGTTTGGGAGGGTGGGCCGCAGGTTGGTGGCGGGGAGGATGAGGATGGTAAGGAGGATGTGGAAGAAAAGAAGGGAAGAAGAGATGGTCGGACGGTGGGTAGGTTGAGGTTGGCTGAGGGAGTGACGGTTAGAGATGCGGAGATGGCGGAGGACTGGTTCATTCCTGTGCCTTATAGAGGGAGTAAGGGGGTTAGAGTGTACTTTGAGAGTTTCTAACGGACGAGGGTGAGCAACGGTGGTGGGTTGTGTGGTTTATTCTGTGCGAGCGGCGAGAAGAATCATGGGTAGATGTGACAGTCGAAGAAAGCATATCCTATGCTCATCAATACAAGACATACTTGGAAAGTCTGTTAGCTCAAGGCCTCTGGTCGATATGTCCAGGCATTTCCTCAACAAGTTGATATATTTTTTTCCCATACTGGCGGCTTACAATTTTTAGAATGCATATGTCAAATTAGATCCTGATGATTTGTTTTCAGCTGTTAGCTATGCATTTTAAAGTACCATTGCGGTGTTCAGGACAGGTTGGTATGTGTTTTACTCGAGGTACCGGAGCAACAACAAAATTGATATTTCCCTTCGCTCATATTGACCGTGCCATCAAACATAATCAACGCCTTTTGCGCATAACCATAAACCGGGTTCTCTGACAAACCCTCCCTAATAAACCCCCAACGGATAAACCCCCGGGATATTCCCATTATCTGTGTTTACCACCGGCACCTTTTCATACCCTCCGCCCTGAACCTCCACCACCTTATCCAACCCTCCGCCCACTGGCATCCTCCTCACGGGGCCCAGCGCCTCGCCCACATGTTTCGCAATACCCAGCAGCAAGTCATCCGTCCACGGCCTTCCCAAGATCTCCATCCCAATGGGAACCCCCAGTGGAGCGGTCTCCGTTGCGTTAGAGAATCCCACAGGCACGGTAATGACAGGACTTCCCGTCAGCGCGGCGAGGATCCCGTTCCGTCCGCTTTGCGAGGGACTCCCTATCTTGACGACCAGGTTCTTTTGCTCAGGGTAGATGACAGCGTCGAGGTTGTTGGTTGAGAACGTTCGTGCCAGAGCGGTTTTGAGTTGCTGAATCCCATACTGCCGAACAAAGTACTCCGGCGAGGCAGTAGATCTGTTGAATGCGTTCCTGATATAGTCGTACTGCGAAGGAAGAACCACGAATTGCTTCTTGCCGAGGGTATAAACGTCGCTAAAACTCCTTGGTCCAGTCCCATTGCCGTCGCCGACCGTGTAAGTAGTCTTCTCCAAATATGCATCCAACCCTTCGCGAAACTCAAAAGTCTGGACATCCAGCTTTGCCGCGATCGCCACGGTATCGTAAACCGACTCGGTGATATTCACCAGTTGCACACCAGCTACCTCCAACCTCCTCAGCACCTTTGCCATGACCTCATTCACCGGCGTCGTTTCCTCAGAAGCCGTATGGTTGAAGAATCCATTCAACACTCCCAACCTCAACCCATTCAATTTCCCCAGTCCACCATACAAAGCCTTGGAATAATCCCTCCCCTTGATCTCAGGTGGTACCAAAACCGTAGTATTATCACCACCCCCTTTATCACCCCCTTCACCACCACTCCCCACCCCCTTCGCATCCCCAGCCACACCCAAGCTCAAAACACTCATCAACACCCCCAAATCCTCTACCCCCCTCGCCATCCCCCCCACAGCATCCTGCGTCCACCCCACCGGCACCACTCCCTCTCTAGAAACCAACCCCCTCGTCGGCCTCCAACTCCACAAGGAATTCGCACTTGCCGGCGACCGTAGCGAATTCACCGTATCCGTCCCCGTCCCCAACACCCCCAAATTAGCAGCCAAGGCCGCGCCCGTCCCCCCCGACGACCCACCGGGTGTGCGGGCGGAATCGTACGGGTTGATGGCTTGTCCGCCTAAGCTAGATACAGAGATCCCTTCCAGCGCGAACTCATGCATGTTCGTCTTGCCTAGAATTATAGCGCCTGCTTTCTTGAAGGCCGAAACGGTGGGGGCGTCGTGTAGGGGGGTGTTTTGTGCAAGGGCGAGGGAGCCGGCTGTTGTGGGCATTTCGTTGGTGTTGAAATTGTCTTTGAGGAGGACGGGGATGCATAGGAGGGGTTGGTTAACAAGAGAGGAAGAGTTGTTGAAAGTGAGGTGAGCGTCGATAGTGGAAGCGAGGTCGAGGGCGTGAGGGTTAAGCGACAGGATGGCGTGGAGAAAAGGGTTGAAGGCTTCGATGCGGGCGAGGTAGGAGGAGATGAGGGCGTGGCAGGTGGTGAGGCCGGTGAAGAGGGCGTTGTGAATGGAAGAGATGGTGGCTTCGCGGATGTCAAAGGGGGGGTTGAGGTGTAGTGGGACTTGTTGTTGGGTGAGAAGGGTGTCTGGAATTGGTGGAAGCGGGTTGAAGGCGGATGTTGCTGATGAGAGGAGGGAGAGGAGGACGACTTTGCCTAGGAGGGCTTTGGGGTGGTGGAAAGAGGGTAGCATGGTGATTGTGGTTGAGTGGATGGAGGAACACTACACGATCATGTTTACATGTAGTTTGTGATATGTCCGGTCGAGATGTCCGTCTTTAAGTAACCGCCAAGTTTTGAGGGTCCATCATGCTGGTAAGCCCAGTGATGCCAATGTTGCTCTTCGCATGGTGAGATTGAGGGGTATCACGGCCTTAGTAAGTTTGATGGATTAGTTGACCAACCTTGGAAATATTGATGAGTGAGAAAGATAAACAAATGGTTCCCCATTGGAGTAGTGTCTTTGTTAACCCCGATTTCCGGATGCCGGGAGAGCCCCGCTCGGGACCCGCTGTCAACGACACACCTGTTTGGCTGCTTGGCTCCGATCCGGCTTTCGGCTGCCGTGATAGCTAGATTATAAAACACAGTTCGACCGAGTGTTCGATCTGGGAATTAGATACCAGCCAATGATACAAGTTATCTTTCAAATATCGGACCTCTTGTCTAGATATCGAGTTCAAGTTATTCGGTCAGAAGGCGGAACCTCGATATTCTCTCCGCAGCACAACATGATCCAGATACAGTCAGCAAGCACGGCCGTTACTCATCATGTTTGACATCGATTCGCTTCTATACGGAGGCCCATGGACCCCCACATTCCTGATTTCTATCCAATCCCTTTATATTTCCACCTAGATACGTGCTAAATAGTAGTGTAACAGCCCGTTCGTTTCGTGCATGCATGCCTATCATGTAACATATTCAGACATTACTATGCCACCTGATTTCTTGTCTTTACATCCCAGCACTAAGCTCGGCTGTACATTGCGTGTTCATCGAAATCACCGCTTGCTAGCTGCCACGCCAGAAGACGCCAACCGCCACGCCTTGAGTGGGAGATCCTGCAAGTGAATAACCTTGGGACGGATGAACATGGTAAAAGTCACCACACCAATGGCCACGCAAAGGAGATTGACAATGTAGTATCCGTCCTGGATCATGTTGCAAGTACCACCGTTGGCAAGGCACCTCGTCTTGTCTTCCTGGATGGCGCAGCTGAAGGGCTGGCTGAAAGTGGCCGTCTTGGAAGTAGGCACGCAAGTGGCGGTGGTGAAATAGTCGACCAGACGAAGAACGAAGAAGCGGGGGAAAGTACCGCCTAGGTTGCAGACGCTGACAAAAAACACGTTAGCGGGAGACTTGGTAGGGAAAAGATGGGGAAGAAAAACTCACGTAGCAAGAAGAGTCATGTAAGTACCGCCAATGACCGGGTCCGAGATGCGCGCGTGGAAGGCAGAGACGGCAACAAACATGATGGTGTTGGTGAAAGTGGAAAAGATGTGCTCGGCAATGACAACAAGCATGTACCAAGAAGTAACACCCTCGGCAGGGAACATAACAACAGTAAACTGCGCGAGAATGGCAGCCACTAGACGACCCATGAAGCCCCAGCACCAGAGACGCATGGGCGTGAACTCCTGCGACCACTTTCCTGCATAGTATCCCAGACCGATCTCAAAGGGGAAGTCGATCAGAACAGTGAGGGCCATGTTCTCGGTACCGAATCCCTTGTCAAGAAGCTTGAGGTTGGTGACAGCATCGTTGGCCTGGAAGCCAATCTTGGCGATAAGGTGGATGATGATGATGGTCTGGACGTTCTTCAGGTTAAGCACACCCCACATGATCTTGTAGACGTCCCAGACGCCATCCTCGTTCTTGGTGCGCTCCTCGCGCTTCATCAGACCCAGGCCGATAGTCACAGCAATGTATGCCCAGCCCCAAAAGGTAAGGTATCCACCCAGAGACATCAAGCCGTGGTCAAGCGCTTCGGTGCGGAACCAACGGTTGGCAAACTCCTTGGAGTGGAAAGCCAAAAAGACAGTATACGACAGGAACTGGCCAGCAGTCAAGCCGACAGTCTGCGCGGTGGAAGCGTACGAGACGTTGCCGGGCGTCAAAAGTGTCAGGGCCCAGCCGTCAACAGCAATATCCTGGGTAGCGCACATGAGCACGAGGAAGAACCACCACCAGGTGAAGCCCCAAACGGTAGGACCGCCTTCCTTGCCCATGGTATCCATCAGTCCTTCGACCCTAGAGCCCAAGTAAAGCATGCCGATTCCCGATAGCAATTGGATTGGTAGAATCCAGCTCTTTCTCCTGCCCACCTTGGGGCTCCAAATGGCATCGACAATGGGGCTCCATAGCAGCTTGAGAGAGTAGGGGTATGAGGCCAAGCTGAAGACACCAATCTCGGCGTAGGACAGTTTCGACTTGAGGAGGAATGGTACCGAGCCCGTGGCCAATCCTAGCGGGACACCCTGCAAGAAATATAAAAGAACGAGCAGGCCAAAGTTGCGCTGGTCCTGCTTGGGAAGCTCGAAGAAGCCATGATTGTTTACGGCGTCGCTCTTGTCTGGGACGGGGTCGTCGAGGGAGAAGGATTCCCTGCCGATGATATTGGCGGTTATAGCTTCGGACGACGTGTCGTAGCCCTTGTTCCGGCGCATAAGCTCGATGTTGTTGTTCATCTTGTGGAGGCCCGAGGCGACGGTGTCAGGATCGGAGTCGGAGTCCTTGATGTTTTGGGTCTTGTTGTTGCCTTTCTTCCCGGCCCCTTTCTTGGAGGCTTTCTGGGACAGACCGTTTTGTGTCGGCGACTTTGTGCCACGAGTTTTAGTACCCATAGGTACCGCTGTGATTGTGTATGTTGGCGGGTGGTTTCGTGTGTGTGCGCGTGCGCTGGGGGAGGACCCGTTTCGTGGGTTACTCGAGGTCAAAGCCTTGTGTAATGGCGGCGCGTCTGGAGAGTGGTCAAGGCCGTCTCGGGAGAGCGATGATCAACAAGTAGTCGAGATGGAAGCGAGAGGTAGTTTTCCAGAAATAGCCGTCGCAAAGGACAAGAAAACGAAGAGATTAACGAAAGACGAGAAGTCGGTACTAGCGGGAGTCGAATAGTCCGGACGAGAGTGGTACCGAGAAGGATTGATGACAACCGAAGGGACGAAAGACAAGTAACGAAAGGATGCCGGCCCTATCAGATCAAGTGTCCTAACGAAGCGCTAGCTTTGGTAATGGTGCCTGTCTGTCTGTTGGTGAGTGAGTGGAACGTTGACGGTGGAAGGTGTGGAATCGTGGGGGAGGAAATGTCCGGGCATGCTACCGTGGCCTCTCGGTTGGTGGCCTGGTGGCAAATCACCTCTAACATACGAGGCGAGCTAAGGTAGAGATGAATGTTTCGAGATTGATGTGCTCTAGAACTGAAGCATACCTACAATCTCAAAATATGAACGACCGAAAGGCTCAACCTCTTCGGTTCTCTAGGTAAGGAATGAGGAAAAAGAGATGTCGGGTCTGATTACTAACGAGGGAGTGACTTGCGGGTGCCTGTCTTCCACCCGCGCCGCCTTCCGTCTGAGTGTTGTCCACAAGCTGCCTGTTTGGTCTCTTCTGTGGAAACAGCCGCTGTGGGGAAGGGACGGCCGGCCGATAACCTCTTATCGCACCAGGGGACAGCTTTCCAGGTTGACGCAGGAACTGTGCACGTGCTGTGCTAGTGCGTCATTGGCATGGACCCAGGGGCAGATCGCTAAACTTGACAGCTGTCCCGTCGCTCCACAGAGCTCGGCACCTGTTGCCGACCTGTCAGCTTTCACTCCTCCCAGTGGAAGCTTCAATCACTAACAAGGGGATTGATTCGCATCAACTCCACCAAAGTAAACAATTGACTGGAGCAAAGTCACCAGCTACACTACAATATTCAAGGCTTCAAAGAAGTCCCTTTTCACGTCATGATACCCGGGCCTCACCACTATTGATCCAATTATTTCCATTCTCTGATAATCTTCACACGCACAATTATTTACATTGCGCATCATACCAACCAAGACGCGTTTGTTTCTGCAACAACACTGCTCACCACCAAAAAGTGGGTCCCTCCACGAACCTCACCATGTCCTCACCAACACCTTTATCGACGACACCCTCACCACTCGACGCCGAGATCGAATCTCTCAAAGCCAAAGTCACAACCCTCAAATCCCACCTCCGCATCCAAACCTCCACCCTCATCTCCTCTCCTTCTGTCTCTTCCCTTCTCTCCAACCCGCCTTCCTCCTCGCACCTCAAACCAAAGGGCCTCACCCCAACCATCCTCAAATCCCTCCGCCACCACGCCTCTCTCCAAAAGGCGCACAACCAACAATCCCTCTACCGGACTTGCGCCACCATCACCACCTTCCGCGTGCAAGATCCGGACCCGAACGCGGTAGACGGCGGAGCCGTACTCGGGTTAAGGATAGAAGTCTTTGCGCGCGGGAGGTTCATGAGGCCCTATTATGTTTTGATGAATCGACCTTGGTCGGATGGGACGAAAAATGGGAAGGGGAATAGCAGCAGTAACAGCAGCAGCAGCAGCAGCAAAGAGAAGGAGAAGAGCAGGAGCAGCAGAAAGGCAACCACCAGCGGCGGGAGGTACGCAAACTGGTTACGAGTCCACAGACATACCGTTCCCCCTTGTATTCCCATTTCAGGATTAGTAGCGCGATATTTACCGACACCGCCATCATCACGACCTGACAAAGAAGAAGAAGAAGAAGAACAAGGTGGTGTGAGGGAACAAAACCTTGTCAAGTTCGCTAGAAGCTTAAGAAGGGAGTTGGTACGGTATCATCATCGTCTGGCAACCATTACGGACCTACGGAGGGCTATCCTGGCGCAAGACCAAACCGAGCAACAAGAAGAAAAGGGCCCAAACAAAATACAAGACGTCATCCCCGCCGATGCCGAAGCGAAACAAATCACTGTCGAATGGGCAGATGGTCAGACGGGACGGTTGGTGATGGGTGATGATGGGGAGATTGTACAAGTTGTTGCGTTGAATGGTGGTGGTGCTGGTGGTGGTGGAGGGCAAGGGAATGGAAATGGAAGTGGGAGGGATAGAGAGGTGGTTAGGGAGTTGGTAGGGAGTGCGAAAAGGGTGGAGGATGTTGTTAGGCGGTTGGGGTCGGGGACGAAGGTTTGATGGGCGTGTAGAAGTGCCTGGGTGAGGAGAGTTAGGTTAGTTTGATACCCTGAATGAACAATTACTACGTTTCAAGAAGGAAAGGAGAAATGCGATGAGTAAGGCAGACAGTAGCCAGGTGCGCTTACCTCTTTTCATCTCCACCCAAAACTCCTGTGACCACTTCATGCACTCACTCCAGTCATTCTCGGCTTCAGTTTCGGGGGCACCAGCACTCGAACTCACCTTGGATCTTCCCCTACGCCAGTCCAAGGTACATCAATCATGCCGTCACTCAGTCCACCACATGCCTTGTACGCCTAGTCTTCTTCAAGGCTTTAAGAACGTTGCGACATACCCGTCTGCTCTTCAGAGTCCTGAGATGGGTGGGGAAAGGCACGGCCCGGTGGTGGAAGGGGACACAGCGTTGCAAGTGCAACAAACTTCATTGGTGAGTAAAGGGGGGGTGAGGGTACTTGAATGGATGAGCCAGATGATAGGTGTGCATTGGTAAGACAAGGCCATGGTTTGAAGGCGGGTATCCATTTTATCCTAGCACAACGTGAGGATATCTGCTGTGTTCTTGTCAGGTCGATCGTGGTTTGGTGACTGATCAGCGTTCCTGGGGTTTGGAAGATGTGGGTGGTCTGGACTGGTGTGGTGTAGTGTAGTTAGATTTCAACGGGCGTACATCTTTCGGGTCTAGGGTAAGGGCTGGAGCTGTTCTTGCATTCATTTACTGGAATGGTAACCTAAAGATTCGCAGTCTACAACAAGCTGGTAATGTATTATTGCACACTTGATCATCTGAGACGATACTATGCGAGTATGTGATAAACTAAAAGTGTAACCCCATTAGAGGCCATAAGGCAAACAAAGTTATCGATCATTAGAAGTAGCTCCCCACAATACCCAACGGTCTCTCATCTCTGCAAGTAACCCAAGTAGTCCCAGTCGCCGAATTGAACCAATAATAAGAAGAAATTCGATCTAAAGTCCTTTCCAACTCTCTCACCGCCTTTAACTACCTTCCGATTCAAAAACGTTTTGATCCATTACTTTTCATTATTCTCCTTTTCTTCCCATGGTCGCTGTCATGACCGCATGAAACCTGCCACCTAAAGAAGGGCAATAAGGGCAGCAAGAACGGCCAAGGCACCACCAGCATGATGGGCGCGCTCAATCGATGCGCCGGCAGTGACGACAGGACCAGGGCTGGTGGTAGCGGTCGGGGGTGCGCCGCCGCCGCCGCCGCCAGAGCTGGAGCCAGAACCGGTGGGCTCAGTGGCAGACGGGCCGGAATTGTGAGGTGGCGGCGGAGCAGCGGAGCTGGCTGGGTTGCTAGGCGAGGGTGGAGTGGAGGCAGGAGGAGCTGGAGGAGCTCCGGTACTGGCGGGTGGATGCGGTGGAGGAGGAGGCGAAGGAGATCCGGATGACGCGGGAGGTGCGGGAGGAGCACCAGATGAAGCGGGAGGTGCCGGGGGAGCACCAGACGATGCAGGAGGAGCAGAAGGAGCACCTGATGAGGCCGGGGGTGAAGGTGGCGGCGGAGGAGGTGCCGGGGGACCACCAGACGATGCAGGAGGAACCGAAGACTGCGGTGGAGGAGGAGGAGAGCCGGAAGAAGCTGGAGGAGGCGGTGGTGGCGGAGATCCGGAGCTTACAGGGCAGACAGTGGTGCTGACCGGAATGGTGACGGTGGTGACCACGGTGCTATGGGCCGGGCATAAGGTAACAGCAGGCGGACAGCTGGTAATAGTATGAACTGCCGTGGTGTAGACGGTGCTTGTTGTCCACTGTCCCCCGTCGCCCTTATCGGGTCCACCGGTAGCAGTAGTGGTAGGGGCCGTGGTCGGAGCATAGCTGACGGTACCAGCACTCCATGAGTCAAAGATCGAAGAGACGTCACCGTAGTGAGCCGACACCGAGGCGGCGCAGGCGAGAGCAAAGGTGGCAGTCTTCATCCTCCTTGTTCCGGCTATGGATGGTAGAGATGCCTTAAGGAACGGTCTTGGTAGGGGAAGAGTGAGTGAGTGACTTGAACGAGTGAATGATGGAGTTGGTGATACCGAGTGATGGCTCCGAGTTCCAGATATGGGAAGGAAGGGGCCTTTTAAAGTTACCGTGGGTGGTCTCTGCATCCCGGACCCGCCTCCTTCTTGTGAAATGTCAGAGAAACATGGCAAGGCAGCACAAAGAATGTTCGGCTATATACGTTCGCCAGCCGCTTGGAACATCCCATAACGGCGGCCAGAGACCAAGCGGACTGAAGTCACAAGGGGAACCTGGACACGGACGACAACTGACGGAACACAAAAAGGCGCCGCGTTACTGCGTACATTGACAGTAGATGAACGGGGTCAGTCTGGGCGGCTAAACAGGAAACGGTATAGACCGAGTGTCTCGCAATCATATAAACTGTCTGCGGCGCATCAAGAGAGACATTGACAAACTAAAGGTGGTGTGCCTGAAGATACTTGGAAACAGCTCTCGGGTTACGCATAGCTCAGGACCAGAACACCGGCGAACGGACGCAGCCTGGATGTTCATGAGGCGTTCCCCTGATCCACCCGAATTCAACTGGGGATTATTCCTGTTCTCTGCGCAAGGTCAGTGATTTTTCGGTGACAGTTCCAAACGGGGAAGAGTTCTGCCGTGGCCATGTTCGAATCAGATACGAAGGCCCAACTAGGCCCCCTTGGAAGTATAACCTCAACTGTCCAGTGAACAGGCGCAGCCATCCGCTGCAGTGTCTCTTCCCCTGCATTTTTTCTGCATTTTCTTGGTGTTCAGCCATGTGCCGGCAGTCAGCACGTTCCCGCACGCACTAAGGCAAGCCATGTTTGTTCTGTATGCACATCACTTTATGTGGGGGAAGCAAAGGTGAGGGGAAAACAGTCTAGATGCTGGCTGATAGATGGAATCTTGAAGTCTCCAGAAGTGGTTAATCTGAGATGGCCCTGTTTGGTATAGACCAGGCACAGCTCTCAAGGCCCAAACCTTTGCTGATGTTGTCATGTATCCAAGCGGGAAACATCGTATATGCGGCAGATCGTATCCGGTAGATACTTGGATGCAAGGGGTTGCCCCGGTGAGGAGCCCCAGTGGAAATGAGGTTTCTGAGTAGATATTGATGAGCAGAGGTGAACAAGAGCAAGTGGCAACAGTGACGTTTACACAAACACCAAGCCCAAACGACAACGAGAAAGAAGAAGAAGGGAAGACCTTGGGAGGAGAAGAGACAACAGATGGGTTTGGGCAGTAATATGGGTTAGATATAGATGGCGTAGGGGCACAATTCTGTCTTGGCCATCTTGAGTGGGATACACGGTGGTTCGACGTTGAAACATGGCGCTGAGCACAAGTCCATTTTGGGAAGGGAATAGAAGACAGCGAAGTTGTGGTGGTGATTGGGTTGACTCAGGTCGGTCACGGTGGTTCAGACTTGGATGTTTTGCAGGCGAGACAGTTGCAGTGAGTTGATGAGATGCAGCTTGTTTGCGGGGGAAGACTCGCTCGATGTTGTTGCATGTTGCCGATGCTGCTTGTCGGTGCCACTGTGGCTGTAGCTCATTTGTGGCTTTATCTTATCGTCTTCAATTGGATCGATGCGCTGCCTGCCGGAAGCTTGGTTCCATCCAAACAACTTACATACATTGCCCCCGGCATCAAGGTACATAAGTACCCAATTGGGGTCCATCAAATGTTCGGAGCTCCATGTTCCAGAACGAACTTGTCATTCGACTTGATTGAGCTCTCGAATGTTTGGTCTGGGACAGCTTTCGATTTCGTGGTTTTTGCAATTCTGTTCAAAATACTCTAGCTTGCTTCTCTTCTTCCGTGTCCAATACAGCTTCTTTTCTTCCAGGTATTTGATACATGACAATCAACGCGCAAGTTGTGAAACGTAAACAAACCCTCGTCCTCTCTCCTTCCAGACGGAGTCCCGGCACCTGTAGTGGACCTCCAACTTCCCAGGATCCCCAGGAGTCTTCTGGGCGTTTCAAGCAGCGTGACGTCGCTTCAACCTTCCACCAGCTCCGATTTCACCATCTCCCGACTTTCTCAACTTTGAACCTCCAAATCTCCGGTCTCGAAATCTGAACAATTCTGAAAACTCGAGGTCTCACTGATTCACAATCAGCAATAAGAAAGGAAGCTTCAGCGCAGGGATGACGACGCCTGTCGAACCTGCCACCCGCAAGAGGGTGTTGAAAGTCATCTTCATTTCTTTGTTACTCGACTTGGTACGTACTGCTTGAGACCATCCATAACATCGCGAAAGCTCAAGAACCAAAAGAGATTGACTAGATGACAAACAGATATCATTTACCTTCATCCTTCCATTATTCCCCAAACTCCTCGAATTCTACCGCAACGTCGAAGCTCCCCTCGACCCTTCAGCCCCACCATCCAAGACCCTTCTCTCCAGTGTCTTGGGCTACCTGAACGCTTACAAGGCTTCCTTTGCGCGACCAATTGACTCGCGATATGACATTGTTCTGCTCGGAGGTGCCTTGGGGAGTCTCTTTTCGTATGTGACCACCAGCAAAATGCCCAACTCCCGTCAATTCAGACTTCTCGCTAACGATAACGTTCTCCCAGTCTCCTCCAAGCCATCGCCTCCCCCATAATCGGCCACTTCTCCGATCGCTATGGCCGCCGCACCGCCCTCCTCCTCAGCATGACGGGCAACATTCTTTCGGTGCTCCTTTGGGTCATGGCCACCGACTTCCGCACCTTCCTCGCCTCGCGCATCGTCGGCGGTCTCTCCGAGGGCAACGTCCAGCTGGCCACGGCCATCGCAACCGACATCTCGGACCCTTCCAAGCGCGGCTCGACCATGGCCCTCATCGGCGCTTGCTTCTCCATCGCCTTCACTTTCGGCCCTGCGCTGGGCGCCTGGCTGAGCTCCTTCAGCACCGTGGCCGCCAACCCCTTCGCGACAGCCGCCGGCGTCTCTCTGACTCTGATCGTCGTCGAGACTCTATACCTCTATTTCTGCCTGCCCGAGACATTGCCGGCGCTGACTCAAAAGACTGAGTCCACCGGCACTCAAGTCAGCAGCACCAAATCCGAAGAGAAGAAACCAGCAACCGCCCCAACCACCAAACCTACCGCAGTCCAGCGCACAAACTCCCACTTCCTCCTCAACTTCACCCACTTCTCCTTCCTCCTCTTCTTCTCCGGCATGGAATTCTCCCTCCCCTTCATGACCTACGACCTCTTTGCCTACGATTCCGCCAAGAACGGTCGTCTCCTCGGTTTTGTCGGTCTCATTGCCTCCCTCCTCCAAGGCGGCGTCACGCGTCGCCTGCCCCCTCTGCTGTCTGTGAGGATCGGCGTCATCGCTTGTCTCTTGGCTTTCATCATGCTGGGCCGTATCACGTCCGTTCTTGGCCTCTACGGGGCAGCTGCCCTGCTCGCTACCACCTCGGCGACGGTGGTCACGGGTCTGAATGCCCTCAGCAGCTTTGAGTCGCACGAGGGCGAGCGCGGTGGAAAGTTGGGCATGTTGAGGAGCTGGGGACAGCTGGGTAGGGGACTGGGGCCGGTGTTGTTTACGAGTATTTATTGGTGGGCCGGGAGGGAGGTTGCCTATGGAATTGGCGCGTTGGGCATGTCGTGGGTAGCGTTGTTGGTTATGTATGCACTTAAGACGCCGCCGGGGTCGGAGAGAGTGAGGAAGGAGAGTCAAGTAGCGGAGCAGGAGAAGAAGGAGTTGTAGATTTGAATGTTTTTTTTCCTTTTGTAGTATAGAGTTTGAATAGGATGGGGGAGGGTCAAAAGGATGCACATAAAATGTCCAGAATTGGGATACATAAGTTTGGATACTGTATGATTACTGAACAGTTTTGTGTTGTTGTATCAATGTTGAGCATCGTCTATGAAGCATAACTTTCACTTTATTTCTAACACCTGACGTTTTCAATGTCATGAATGTCTTTTCTATATCGTGTAATCATTTTTTTACCCGTGTTGACACAAGGACTCTCGTCGACGATCCAACACATGGACACATGGACACATCCTATCCATCCGTGAACCATTCTCATAGGATAGGAGACCGAAAGCGTACCAATTACACACGCACATGTTGGCAAGCGAACAGATAATTGTTCACCAAATACCATTAGGCTAATCTCAAAGAAAAGGCTATAAGGAGAAATAGGATAACCCAAAATGATATAGACAAAAAAGTAAAAGAGCAAAAGAGTTATAGCCGCCAGCCAGACTCGAACTGGCAGTCTTCAGATTAGAAGTCTGACGAATTACCATTTCTCTATGACGGCCTTTTTTTTTGTTTGTTCTTGTTGATAGAACTGGTCATTTCATGGGCCTATAAGGTCCAATGTGTGGTGCCCTACATGCTGGGGGGAGGCGTAGGTCCCATGGGACGGGATGAAAGACGTGGGAGCGAGCAGCTTGGCGGGCTGGATAATGGAAGGTGCGGTTCGTTGTGAACGGCACAAGCAGGAGCTGAAAGGGGGGGGGTTTGCTTGGTAAACTCATAGTCAAAAAATACTGTCCTCCTCCCCCACATATCCAACATGGTAAGGGGGGACAGTATTTTTTGACTATGACTGATGACGATTCAAGGTTGATGGCAGGAAGTGAAACAATAGAGTGAAAATGGTTTAAGCTTGGTTACTATGTTTACATATTTTAATGCTTTCAAGGTGTGCTATGACTATCGTCGCCTATATCTCATTCATTTTACAGTAGACGCCCCTAGAAACAGCCTACTGCTGCTATGGGTGCGGACTCTTTGTTTTCTTTCCTTAGTATATTCCGTTCAGTGTGGTGTTTGTTACTCTCCGGACAATTCCACCAGTTACTTGCTCCGTCAGACACGTACTCTGGGTAGTACCCAACCCCTTTTCTAGACCACATCCGCTTGTGTCCCGAACACCAGCTGTATATCTCCTTGTTTTCTTTCATAATTTGGCGGATGACCCAAAATTTAGTCAACCCTAATGATAACCTTCCACCCCAACGCCCCCGCCTCACGGATCGCACAAGCCAAACATCCCCTCCGTCTTCGACTTATCAGGGCATTCCAACCCTTCTCCGCGCAAAACGCTCTGACGAGAATCTCCATATCCGAGCCAAATTGGCGTCTCCGTGTCTCTGAATGCATCTTCTTCGACGCACTCTCCATATTTACTCCTCCTCCTTCTCCACCTTCCTTGACCCCGTCAAGCGTAGTCGGACTAGCACACTCGGCTTCCGGAGCGGTGATGGGAGAAGAATCGGGGGAGGGGTGATTATTATAATTGATATTATTAGTACTGTTGTTGGTGCTGCTCCTTCTGGGCGTGGGGAATGAATAGCTCCCCTTTCTGCTAACAGCCGGGGATAAGGGTATTTCGTGTTCTTGCGGCAACGCCTGGAAGCCGGTGATGCAGTCAATCACCAAGAACTTGGCTGCGCTCTTGGCGGAAGGAGGCGTGAGACTAGGTCGGTGAGCAGCGGACGAGTAGTCATCTAGTAACGCCTCGAGAGAGAAGTCTTTCTTCGCCATTAACTCTGATAGATGCAGAGCGGTGTATGTATATGATTTGTGAAGTGGGTGGCCTGCAGACGTGTTAGTAACGACGAAGAGATTGGAATGAAAAGGATTTAGCATACCGACGACGCTTACGGCCTTACCAGCAGCGCCACGCCCGGATAGGTCCACTTGCTGGATAGTAGGGCTGGATGGTGACCTGAGAATCTTGACATGGGAAGAAGGGGCACATGGGTGAGCAGTCACAAAGTTGACATCCTTTGCTAATGAATAGGTATGTTGGTGGGTCTTGTAGGTGTCCAGGTCCGTCACGGTGAAAGAGATCTCAGCAGGGTATGTGCGAATCTGCGCCGGGCGACTGAGCTCCGAAAAGGGGGTAGCCGCGTTGTCTTCAGCTGGAGTGGTTTGGACCGAATCAGCTGGTGCCCATAGTTTCAGAGCATCCAGTTCGATCAGGAGGGTGGGTGGTGTCTTGTCCCGATAAACGTTTTCGAATGGGATGATAAAGTCAGCCGGGAGAACTGACGAGGGGTCCGCGTCTCCCAAGACGTTCGAGTCTTTCTCAACTGCCATCTTTGCCCAAATGCGAGCCTTCTGGTTGATCCCAAGAGCGTCCTCTGCGAGGGCTGTCAGTTTGCGGCCAGTAAACGGTCGAGAAAGTCATCACTCACCTGCAGGTTCCTCAACTTCAACATTGACCCAGCCATCTCCAAGTCCTTGCGGAGTGATATCGCTGGAGATCCAACCCATACACTCGGCAGAACCCTTACCGGCCGCAAGGACACGGCCGACGATACAAGACGTGCTCCAGAAACTCTTGCCCGAATACACGAAACCACCGCAGAGGTTAGCCATGGTTCCGAGCCTGGCCATAGCTTCTGGGTCGTTTTCCAACAGCGTGGCCATCAAAAAGTGACAGATGCCATCACCAGGTAGCATCAGGCCAGACACATAGCTCTTTGACAGCCAACCTGCCGAGTGCAACGCAGCAGATATCATCCTGCGCCTCGAAGGTTCCCGCTTTGGGGCTGCTGGCCTGTGCGAATCATGTCCAGGAAAAGTAAAGTAGGAGGACAAATGGCTTTCTGCTTTGCTCAAGGGGCTGGCAAGCGGGGTGTTGAGCTGAGTTCCTTCAGTGGCTGCCCGGCAGTTCTCGGAAATCTTGGAACCATAAACGGCAATGTCTGGCCAGCGCAACATGGTCGCAAAATGCCGCAGACCATGGACCTGGCGCTCGACATGCCGTCCTCTAATGGCATATACGGGGCCATGATGGTCTTTGTGATGGTGAATGCCATGATCGCGGGCAATGGACATACGCTTCGTCAGAGTTGCCAACCAGCCTATTGGCTTTTCTTGTTCTGGACTAGGCGGGTCTGTCTTGACTATTTCAATATTCTCCAGCCATGCTCGGGCCAGGTGCAACGACCATTTGACAGTCGTGTTGGCGTCTTTCTCGAACTTGTGGATCTCAGCCGGGTTAATGCTCTCGATGCCAAGTTCGTCGCCCTCCGTAATAGCGTCGAGCCGTACGAGAAGCTCACAAGCGAGTAGGATTTGAAGGAGAAGCCAATATCTCTCCTCGGTAACTTCACTCACTGAGTCAGCCGTCTTGATTGATGCGCCGTCATCGACTTGGTCTTCGTCAGGGGTGCCCCAGAGCAACTGTCCAAGTCGGATTCTCCATTCAACGAGTGAGAAGTCGATCCAAACGTTGGGAGCAGCGAGGACCTTGACCAAAGCAGCAATTTGCACCGAGAGGCTGTAGGGATCTCTATGGTCGATCACCTTGGTTGGGGGGTGAAGGATATGGAGGAACAACTCGTTGTATAGTTCGCTCGAGAGTCGAAGCTGGTGCGGGTGCTGCTCACTGTAGCGCTTGCCGTTCTTGATCAGCTGTTCGAAAATCAAGGTTTCGTCCATATGGCGGAGGCGATCCCTGGAGGTGAGCATTCTTTGCCGTGCCTCAACGATGGCATGAGGCCTGGACGCGAGGCTCTCGAATCCCCATTGATCCTCCTTCAGCGCATCGGCGACATTGAGTTCCAAAGCCGCTTGGAAACCCATGCTCCCCTTTTCAAGTCCGCCCATGCTCAGCATGCTGGGCCGCTCGCGACAGCGGGGATAGAAATGCGCACAACGTTTCTTCTCCGAGGCCCGTTGCGCCGTGGACCTATCTGGCTGGACATCACGGGTGATGTGCGGCCATGCTGAGGCACAGGTCCAAGCGCGATCCTCGATCTGGGTGTGGTCGGTCAAGTCCCGAATTCCGAGCTCCTCGTCCCATGGGAACGCGACTGACGGATGCGGAGCGCCAGTATAGTGGCCTTCGGCTCGGTCAAAGTACTGAGGAGCTCCCGAGAAGAGCTTCTCTATGTCGGAGTCGGACAGGGTAGCCATGATGCGGGCAAGTCTCAATACCGGTCTTGTTGGACGGTCTAGCCTCCATTCACTGCCAGGTGGAGGCGGCGATGGGAGCGGTTTGTTAGCATCTAGGGGCGAGCGTGGTGATAATGGCGTTTGCGCCACTGGTGACCTTGGCGTAGAGATCTCTGGGGCTGGTATTCGAACTGTTGAAGATGGCGGTGATTGAAGTAGTGTTGGTGGTGATCGGAGTGTTGGTGGAGGAGGAGTCTAAGTTGATAGAACAGGAGTGGTCAGTCTGGCGTTGTTTCTTCAATTGCATAGGATGGTAGTAGGTGTAGCTCAGTGTATCACAATATCATTCAACATGAAGCAAGGAAAGACAGCAGCAGAAAAGAAACGGTCTGTTGTCTGTGGGAGGAGGTTGGGCATGAAACGAGAGATTGACAGAGCAAGATCCCCCCCTCTCATCGTGTAAGTTGAGTGGTGTTCTCGTCGTACGATTGGCCCCCTGTAAATGCAGATGCATAGTGCCACAATGAGAGTGGTGCAGAGGGATCCGCGTTACAGAGGATCACGCGAGCAGTCTCGGCCGACCCGCCGCGGACCACTCAAATAGCGCCCGCTGTTCCCCAGACGACGGGGATTGAGGGGACTACACTTGGGTAGGTTCCTGCTCTTGGAGAGAGTTGAGGTGCGGCTTCGCTGTGTAAATGGGCTTCTTTTTTTTTTTTTGGAGAAAGATGGGGAAACCCGGGGAGGGGAAGGGGAGATGACGACACTTGCCCGTCTTCACCAACAAGGGAACAGAGCACAAGGAACGCAACTGAACCGAACGGTCTGTGTACCTACTAAGTACCGCTACCAATTCCTGTGAGACCTCGCTCTTGTGCTTCTTGGGGGGTAGTGCGCCCACTGCAGTCTTCATGCGAAGGGTCTGAAGCTTCAGGTGAAAATGCAAACTTCTTCAAGATTGCACTTTTACTTCCTTTGCATCACCTCGTGGACAGACTGCATCACTAACAGCGGAGGTTTGGT